AATACGTTGTAAAACCTTATAAATACCCTGTAAAAAACCTTTAAAATACCTTGTAAATTTTTCCGCCAAAAATTTAGCGCAAAAAAAATTGCGGAATCACTTTTCCCGTAAAAAAAATTTTTTTGGCGGGAAAAATTTTTACGGGAAAATTTTACAAGGTATTTTAAAGGTTTTACATGTTTTTACAAAATCAAATTTGTAATTTTGATGTGTGCACATTCTCATGTTTTCCTTATATATTTGTGATATCTTTTATTAAAAGAAGGGTAATTTAGTCATTTTGTACATAAAATGGGGTATTTTAAAAAATGGACAGCCAAAGGGGCATTTTTGAAAAGGGGTATTGAAAAAGGGTCATTTTTGTGAGTCTCCCTTTAAAAAATCAAAAGAAGAAGTCAAGAGAGTTTTGATCATGCCTGATTTACATGCTCTTTTGCAATAATGGTTCGGCGACTCTCGATTCTCGAATACTTCTTTTATAGGAACCTATAACCCAACAGACGATCTTGAAGAGAACATATAAAAAATATTGGTTGTCCATTACTAGAAATTGCTCATGTTTCAGATTGTTTGGAGAAGTTGGAAAGTAAGGAATACTTTTATTTTTTAATAAAATCCGGGAGAATCCATCAAAAAAATCTCCTAAAAGCACGAGCAGAAATAAAGGAACGGATCAATAATGCTGCCGCTCAACAGTCTACAAGGCCTCAATCAAGGAATACTTCGTCTATATACCATCTCCATGGCTAAAACTGATTCTCCCTTCGTGAAATGTAACTTTGATGCAAGTTTTGATACGCAAACATCACAAGTGTTTGGTGGTTGGATCATTCGTGATGATCAAGGGATCATGAAGGCATGGGATCGACAACATTAAACAACGTTTCTTCCCCTTTGGAAGCTGAGCAAGAGACCTATTGGCTATTCTAAAAAAAATTGGATACGAGGATTTACTTCGGTATGTTTTAAAGGAAATAATGAGATTCTCATCAACAATATTAATGGATCGTTAAAAAATTGCGAAATAGCAAATTTACTCCTCGACGTTCTCTATCGGGTCTAACTTTTCATCAATACATTTTAGTTTCACAAAACGTTTGGATAATAATGTAGCTCATCAGTTATAATCACTATTTTTCTATTCGGAATCTGTAACTCAGCCTATGTAGTTTAGAAAATTCTTTGTAATAATTTGATTAATTAATATAAAAATAGTTTGACAAAAAAGGAAAAAGTAATAATGTAGAAATAGAATGAGAAATTTTCACTTAATATTTCATTTTGTATTTTCTGTATAGAATGAGAAATTTTCACTTAATATCACATATCCATATTCTGTATCTCGATTATTTTGTGTTCATTTTTTAAATTCAAATAATTGTATACAGTATATAGAATCAACTTACATGACGAGATTGAAAAAAACAAAACAAAAAGAGAGTCGTTGGAATATTCCTACTACCTTCTGGATGGTACAGAAATCAACCGGTCCATGTAACACTATTATTCAATAATTAAATCAAAAACTTCCTTTTTCATTTGTCAAAAATATCAACAACTTCTTATGGCCTACCACAAAACAAAACATGCCCACTTACGAGTATGGTCCATGATCTTCCACATTAACGTCTATGTATTAACGTATTGTGACCGACTCTAATACTCATTAGACGTGTTCGTTTCATAGACTAGTGTTCGGATTTATACAGTACTTGCATTAATGTGTCTGTCTTAGGCATTTCTGATCCGAATCTAGATACATAAACGGCCTCATAATTGTACTCTAAGGCTTCAATCAAATATCTTATAATGTAAATAGTATACTCCTAATTTATTAATTATACTCCCAAATTAATTAATATGTAGAACTAGTATGTATATCTCTTGAGTTTTGAAAAAGGCTGCCTGTAGGTGGCATCCTATATTATAGTCATTCAACTATAATCACCATATACTTTTTTGTTCTGCCCAATTAAACTTATACTAACTAAAATCTTCTTATTTCCAACCAATCTTTTAATTTCTACCTCTTTCAACAAATTCAATTAATCTTCTCAATTGCTTTTTAAAATCATGATTTCGTGATTACTGTACCGCGATTATAGCTAAATCGAGTTTAAATTCGTTGACCCGACTACAATAATGCTATAACCTGAATTGAAACCTTCTTTCTGAGAAAGAGGTTTTTGATGTCTCCTTAAAACCAAAATCAACGCATTTGATTTCATTTCGCGAATTAGGGAAAACTTAGAAATTCAGGTTCTTTTCTTGTTCTTTTCAAAGGAACAATAAACATGCCACTTATATATTCCACCCACACAGCACTTTTATGCAATCCATTCCTTCTCCCACTTATTTTGAACCACATTGTGTTCATGCTTCAAAGCACACTCCAAAACAGTTTCTTTGAACTCAATACTTGTGAAGAAAGTACTTCCGACAACCAACTTATCACCCATAGCCCTTCTAATTCTTCTACCCCTCAACATAATGGGATCATCATCTTCATCTGAGCTATCCAGAATCATATTTCGGCCAATTTGAATCTCATCTACAAAACTAGCTACTCCATCCTCTACTTCATAGTCGAAACGCTCAAATGGATCTTCTTGAGTCTCCTTTTTCTTCTTAGATGTCTTCTTAGATTTCTTATTCTTCTTGCCTCTTCCACTTTCCTCAATCTCCTCTTCACTTTAGGATTCTTCTTCAGCCTCAATCGATCCGACTCAATCTTGGATCTGTCACTCTCCACATCACTGTTGGATCTGTCCCTCTCCTCAACACTCCCATTCTCACTTTATGATTGCGAACCACCATTGTAATCGATATCATCAGGTTCGTCACTACCATTTGTTAAAAATTTATACATCATTATCTCTTTGTTATATCTCGATTAGCAACACAAATATAGACAACTCCAACTTCTATAACAAGTAATATATGAGAAACTTACGACATCTTTTATGGGTCAGCGAATGATTCTAACCCATCGAAGCTTCAGATTCTCGATACTTATTCTCCAATTCAATCACCACCGGAGACGACGAGGCAGTAGCAGAACACGAAGAATTAAAAAAGAAGCAATAACTCTAGAGACGACGAGGAAGAAGAAGAAGAAGAAGAAGAAGACAGAGCATTATCGAGAGACTCTGGGAGAAGGAGAGTCGTGGTTGAAACCCTAATTTCTAAGTTTTCCCTAATTCGAGTTTGAAAGGGTTTGTGTTTTAAGGAGACATTGAAAACCTCTTTCTCAGGAAGAAGGTTTCAATTCGGATTATAGCATTGTAGTCGGGTCAAGATTTTTAAATTCGATTTAGATATAATCGCGGTATAGTAATTGCGAAATGATGATTTAAAAACGCAATTGAGTAGATTAATTGAATTTGGTGAAATAAATATAAATTTAAAGATTAGGTGGAATTAAGAAGTTTTTAGTTAGTATAAGTTGAATTGGACAGAGGACAAAAGTATTAAGGTAATTCTAGTTGAACGACTATAGTATAGGATGCCACCTATAGATAGCCCTTTAATTTTGAAACCTAACTTCAAAAAAAAAAAAAAAAAAAAAAACTTAAACACCATTAAACTTATAAAAGACATGCAAAAATCCTCCAAGTGACAAAATATGCATGATCAACCTCGTGTGATCTAAACAAAAATTGCAAATAAAAGAATGATCATATTAAAAAACCGTTAATCTAACAATCATATTTTTTCTTGGAAAGAATGGATTCCTCTCCAAACAATCACGATCGACTAGGCCTGGGCGTTCGGTTATCGGATCAGATTCGGTTCGGTTTTTTCGGATTTCGTTTTTTTTGGATATAGATTCTAATATCCATACGGATAATTTTAGAGTTCGGATCAGTTTCGGTTTGGATATTTCGGATTTCGGATCAGTATGGATATGATATTCAATATCCGATTTAACCAAAAATCTAAAAAAAAAATCCGATTAATCCGAAAACCGCAATGAATCCCAAAAAGAACAAAAGCGACCTCCATTACTAGCAAGCTAATTCGTAAAACCGTAAACATAAACTTATCAAAGCAACAATAAACATCAAAATTCTCAGAATCTAGCATGAATACATAGGAAAAAGACGGATCAAAACAATAACAAATAATAATCGAATTCGTCTCTAATGAAGAAGAAGAATCATAGAACATGGAGACATGGATGATAACTAAGAAAGAAGAAGAACTTAAGTTCAAACACATACCCAAGATCGATTACTTGATGTTTCTTATGGATGCGACTGAGACAAAAGAGAGATTAGGGATTCCATATTGAAAGATTAGGGTTTTATGCTTACATGCAAGAGAAGTGGATCCCGTATTGCTAGGGAAATCGAGATTGGGGAAGTGGATCACGTATTGCTAGGGAGGGAAATCGAGATAAGGGAAATAGATCCCGTAATGCAAGGGACGACTAAGGTTCTAGAACTTCTAGAGGAGAGTTCGGATACACATCGGATATCGGATCGGATCGTGTATTATCCGATATCCATGTATATAGAAATCAATAACCGATCGGTTAATCTGTCGGATTCGGTTCGGATTTTAATCCTATTTTTTCGGTTCAGTTCCGGTTCGGATTTTCGGCTTCGGATTAAACGCCGAGGCCTACGATCGACCATGTTTTAGTCTAAAACATTAACGACATTGTTTTTTTGGTAGGAGACATTAACGACATTGTTTACGTCTGGCTCAAATTAACTTTTTTTTTTTAATATGACCAAGGTTTTATTTGCAGTTGTGTTTTTTTTACCAATAATAAGTCTTTTTATTTTAATGCATTTTCATTTCAACGTAATTAAATCATTTTTACCACCTATTTGAAGAGGTGAACAATTGAAGAAAAGAATGTTGTAGACACACTCATTGAATGCATATACAAGTAGGTATATACATATAGCTACACTACATGTACATGTACATGTATATGCAAGTACGTATTTAGGTATAAAAGTATACATAGTAATAAATATCTTGTAATCACGGAAAAAGGGTAGAGAGGGACCAAAGGTTAGAAGGAGAGGTACGTGGAGTGTCTTATGTGCCGATGGTTTTTAGGATGGACAATACATAACTTTTAATTCCACCGCAACGTGGTTCATTTCAGAAACCTCACTCTCTCTTTCCCTTTTGTCCTCTCTATATTAATCACCTGAATGGTTTCTTCTATTCTCACTACCTCACTCTCTCACTCAAGGGTCCAAAAGTGTTTTCTCTTTTTCAGTTTCTCTTTCTCTTTTTGACAGAAGAGATCGAGAGAAACGATGGGAAGGGCTCCGTGTTGCGACAAAATCGGATTGAAGAGAGGTCGATGGACCGCCGAGGAAGATGAGATCCTCACCAACTATATTCAGACCAATGGTGAAGGTTCTTGGCGATCTTTGCCTAAGAAAGCTGGTATACATTTTTTTTTTTTTTTGATAACTCAGAGTAAATTACAAGACCTATGGAAGGGTCTAAGACTAATCTCAGGTTTTCAAGAAAGCTTGTATATACATCTTTATATATCCAAATTACCTTTCCTCATCGTCGATATATCTCTCGGTCTAGTAATTGCTTAGATTTTAACATTTGAAAAAAGTACTAATTTCTTTGAGTCGTTGATGCATGGAATGGAAACATGAAAAATGTACAATCTAGTAACAAAAATTATGATGTTATATTAATAGAAAAGAAAACTGCTTTCTATGTATATATATGTTCTAATGAAAATTAATGTGTAGGATTGCTGAGATGTGGAAAGAGCTGTAGACTAAGGTGGATAAACTATTTGAGAAGAGACTTGAAAAGAGGAAATATTACGGCCGACGAAGAAGAAATAATCGTCAAGTTGCATTCCCTTCTCGGCAACAGGTATTAAACAAAAATTAATCAACGTCACAATCGTTCATTTATATGTGATTCATAATTTTGTTATATTTACAATTTTGCCACTACTTGAATAGTGACTGTAAATGCTGGGGTCACGTAGACAGTACAATTACATGCATGTCTTGTCAACTTAAGAAACATATAGAAATGGTCAGAGTTCGAACCAACCGTCCAAAAATAAAATAAGAAACAAAATTTATCAAATGTAATTCAATGTATTGCCATGAATGATCTTGTGACCATCGTAACTTTTCAGCGGTTGATCACTGTTGGAATTGTCCAACCTTTAAAAAATAATATATATACGAGAATATCCAATTTGACTTTTTGTCAATAAAAAGCTTTGGCATTATGTTGCTGTATATCCAACGGAATTGACCTCTCTAATTAGTCTTGTCTCATGTGTATTTTTGTGTACGGCCTTGATTGTTACTGGCTCTGTGGCCAGTTGGTCACTGTAACTATGAGTGGCAAAGTGGTAATGAGTCTATAGAGTTAACGCATTGTTATAGCTCCAAATTCAAATTTTACTGTGCCTAAACTTCTAGGGTTATTCATTTGGGTTTTGATATTTTTTTGTGATAAATTTTAGAAATTTATTTACCGATAAATGAACACATTTCTAGAACTAAGGCATTTCGACGAAATAAGGCAACTGAGGGGTTGATCGTTGTTGGAACTAGGCCTGGGCAAAAAAAAGGACCCAAAATCCGGACCGAAAAATTGGTTCGGGGTGGATACGGATAAGAGAAAATTACCTCATTGGGTACAATTTTTGTAAATCCATGGGTATCGGGTCGGTCCGGATATTACCCGTTACCCGAATACCTGAACATATATTTAAATATCCAAAATATTAATTATATTTAATTTTAATATAATTTAATTATCTAGAATTACAATTATAAATCTAAATATGTCAATAAACTTTAGTCCTAAATATCCAAAACAACCAAACTATCCAAAAATTATTTGTTATGTTTGCAAAAATTTAGCAAAATGTATTCAAATATAACTAAACTTATAAAAATTAAACAAATTTTTAAAGTTTTTTCGGATACCCGATATTTTACGTACAAAACTCTACATTTTACATATAAAATATCAAAACCGAACGGGTACCCATATTTTTTGGGTATTTATAGGGTCTAAAATTTTTTACCTAGACCAACCCGAACCCGATTAGACCCGACCCAAACCAAAACCGAATATTTAGAATTACCTTGTTAGGTAGTAAATTCAATACCCATTAAATCTAAACCTGAATGAATTTTATCCGAACCTAAACGTGTTACCCATATGCCCAGACCTACGTGGAACAGTCCAACCATTTATTAGTTATAAGTCTATGCAATTTTTTTGACTTCATACATTTTGTTATAATACATTTGGTACTGAATTAATGAAAACTGAAAAGCCAACTTGTATAGAGTGTGTACACTGTACACATAATTAATTGATTTGTCTAAATTCATTTATATAGTCTCAACTCTCACGTGTGTGACTGTGACTATTTTCTTATAGATGGTCACTTATTGCAACACATCTACCAGGAAGAACAGACAACGAAATTAAAAACTATTGGAACTCACATCTCAGCCGCAAAATCTACGCCTTCACTGCCGTTTCCGGAGATGAACATAATCTAGTCGTCGACGATTTAGTCCTGAAGAAATCTTGTTCTTCGTCTACTGGAGCCAAGAACAATATTAAGACCAAGAAGAAGAAGAAAGGAAGAACTAGTAGGTCATCCATGAAGAAACACAAGCAAATGGTGACGGCCTCGCAATGTTTCTCACAACCTAAAGAGCTAGAGAGTGAGATCAGTGATGGAGAGAAAAATGGTAATTTCGAAGGAGAGTCTTTGGGGCCTTATGAGTGGTTGGATGGTGAGATAGAACGGCTCTTGAGTGGTTGTGTCTGGGAGTGTACTAGTGAAGAGCCTGTGATTGGAGTAAATGATGAAAAGGCTTGTGAGAGTGGGGACAATAGTAGTTGTTGTGTCGGTTTGTTTGAAGAAGAACAAGGAAACGACACAAAGATTGGTCACATAGGAATTACAAACGTTGATGATCATGGTATGAAGGTGGAAAAGGAAAGAGAGGGAAGTGTTTTGAGTTCGACTTCGAATGAAAATAATGATAAAGATTGGTGGGTTGGTCTATGTAATTCTTCAGAAGTTGGGTTTGGGATTGATGAGGAGTTGCTTGACTGGGAGTTTCAAGGTAATTTGACTTGTCAAAGTGTTGATCTCTGGGATCTCTCAGACATTGGAGAGATAACATTGGAGTGATACTACCGAGCAAGTAGATCGTACATGAGAAGGCGTAGAAACCCAATAAAACATCGATCTTTTGATTCTAAAGTCTAGTGTTTTGTTTGGTTATAGTGGATCTTGTAGTTATGTAGTAGCTTGTTGGAGTGTTTTTTAGAGAGTTAGGAGATGTAGTTTCTAGTTTGCAGCACGTTATGCCTTTTTTTTTTTTTGTGATTTCTTCGTTCTCTTTTGTTTCTAGTTATAATGTTTGTTTGTTCTTTTTTTTTATGTTTCATTGTGAATATTCTGAAATAATGATGAATATATTGGGAATTTTATAAGCATATGTTTATACTTTTATGTGTTAAAATTCTCAAGTTTCAACGAACCGCCTGACTATAACTCCTAAGGTGTTTGTCTAATTTTTTGTTTCAGTTGATGTAAATAACTTTTTTTTGTTGGCTAATAAATTGTTGATAGGTTCAAGTATTTGACTCAGCTAGTATTTTACTCAAATTAGATTTTACCTGCTTATACTTTCACACACTCTTGTCTTTTCTCTCCTGTGAAGTTTTAAATTTTTTTGAATTATGGGTCTAAGCCCGTACACCTCCTCAGGCCAGAAACCAGAACATTTTATATGGTTCCCTCCCAAGTGTCACTCGAACCGGCGACCTCTAGACTTTGCCTGAGAGTCTATACCAATTAAACTATTGACACTTGGTTTGAAGTTTTAATTTACCTTTGAAGAGTTCAAATAAAACTACCAAATACTCAAGAATGTTTGTTTATAATTACACAACTATATGTACCAAGGAGATCGATGATCAATATCTTGATGCGAGTATAAGTAGGTCTTCAAACGACATATTTTCACAAGCTCTTTTCTTTTATGACTAAAAATTATGAGCATGAGCATATAAATCCATACAATTCTCAAGTAGGAGACCATAACATTGGTTTCGTCCCAATAATTAATAGTTTGAACTCTCAACCGCATGGTCCAGAGACCATTTAGTCAATCAAATATAATGCTTATATTTGGTTACTTTTCACAAAGTACGACATAAAGAGAGTTTAATAATGCAAAAACAATCTAGAACTTTTGATCATATTTTTTTGAACTCTTTTGCTTTCCTTTTCTTTATGAAGAAAACTATTATAATTTTTAGAGGATTTTTATACTGGATTTTCAGAGTTAATGAAGAAAAAAAACATAAAACAAAATAGTAGTATGAATAAGTAAAGAAAAAACAATAGACATAGTGAAAGATTCACTTAGGCACTTGCGTGATGGACTCGAGAGTTGTCTCTAAGAAAGAAGATATATAACCAAAGAACTTGAATAGCACCATTGACTGTCCAACGTTATTGAAAGCTCTATTCGATATTGGAACTTTTTTCCTCTTTTAAATGTTATTGATCAATACCTTTATGAAAGCTCTATTCGATATTGGAACTTTTTTCCTCTTTGAAAGCTCTATTCGATAGGATTTGAATCTTTACCTTTATGTGGCTTGTACAATGAATATGGCTTGCTATGAATTTTAATTGGTATGAAGCTACCATGTTTTTTTTTATTTTAAAATTTAATTTTTTCAAAAACCAAAATTTGCAACAAATAAATATAAATAATTTATTAAAATTGTCTCTAAAATTTCGAAGGATAATGGTAGGAATTTGGTAGGAGGCGTATCGTAGGAAACTGGTAAGATAATTTTGGTAGGTAATTGGTGAGAAATATTTCGTAGGAAAATTGAAGGAATAAATTTCCTACGAAAATTTGGTAGGATAATGGTGAAAAAGACCCTACCAATTTCCTACGAAATTTCCTACGCGATTTCCTACGAACAAGTTTCGTAGGAAATTTCTAACTAATTTCCTACCAAATTCTATTTCCTACGGGAGATTCCCTTCAAATAATTTTCGTAGGAAATTGGTAAGAAACGTCTATTTCCTACCAATCTCCTACGATTTTGGCCGTAGGAAAACGCAGCATTTCTTGTAGTGTGAAACATCGATTTAAAAAATGTTATTGAAACTCATATACTATCACAAATAATATCAATGTTAAACAACAACTAAATATATATATATATTTATAATATATTTATTATTGTAAAAAATTTATTTAAATAAAAAAGTACTTTAACAAGAATTTGTTAAGAGTTAAAAGTTCTAAGAAAAAACTAACTAATGCAATGACTCAACACACAAACATGTTGTTTTCAAAGCTATTGCGACCAGTGTCGGCAACAAAAAATATATATATATATATACTATCACAACGGCAAACACAACATCGGCAAGACACTAAAATAAAGGTGATGACAAGCTAAGTAGTGTTGATTAAATTCGACGCTAAGATATCAGCGACACGAGCTCGTTTTCTCTCTCGCTATATACGTCTATGCTTTTGAAATGGAGTATCAGAAACCGCTTCCTCTATTGATTATGAAAGCTTTTGGCTTCTATTGAAAATAACACGCCTCACATGATTATATTAATAAATAATATACATTGAAATAAGACAACACTCACGAACAAAGTTCATCACCTTTTTTTTTTTTTAAGTTCATCACCTTATCTTTATCTTTATTTACTTTCAAAATAATGAAAGGTACGATGTTCTTGTACGAACACAAAATAAAAAGAAGAAAACAATGTTCTTATGTGTACGTGTACATTCTGTTAAAAGAATCATCCAACTAGCTCCATTAACGAACTCTCGTCACATTATATATTTTACACATCATCTATTGAAGGACACTATACCAAAATAGTATAGTATTTTTAAAAAGATATCCGAAAGAGAACCTGCGAATCTTGGCCTTTAAGCAACCTTTGGCTGAAGCAATTCTTCTATTCTCCTCTCCTTTTTTTCATTTATTTATCAAATATATTCCACTTTATTCGTTTCTTCCAACTTTCAATGCCTCTCATATATAGATGTAAAACAAATCAAAGTATAATAACTTTCAAAACATGTAACTTCGATTCCTATCTATTAGAAATTGACGAGAGATATGTCGAGAGCAAGAGTACGAGCTGTGACCCATCAAGATCTTGTTCCAAACCCGAAAACCACAGATCTCAGCAGCAAAACCGGTATTTTCATCGCGGTTTTGACTATAATCTTTGGCCTCTCCTGCTTTGTTCTCTGCCTCTATGCCGAAGCAACGAGATCTCAGGTACATTACTAGATGGTTCGATGATTATATTTAGTCTATATTATATCATTGCCATTACTCTCTTCCATGTTCGGTCCAAAAATGTTGGCAATGATTCCCAATTTCATGTAGGCGACATGGGGAAGCAAAACGTGCGTGTATAACGGTAGCGGGAAAACGCCGTTGTTGTGCGGTGCGATTGCGTTCGTGGGACTAGCGGTGGCGATGGTGGGCTTGCACATGTACTTACTTATCGCAGTTACCACATCGCCACCGCTGGTTCTAGTTGAGTGGGATCCTGACTCTGTTCCTGCGAAGAGGCTCACGTTTCAAGCTGCCTTCTTCTTCGTCTCAACATGGTAAGTAGACTTATTCTAACACAGGAATGAATGTCATGTATTTATAAAAAAAATAATAATAATTTGTGTTACTGACCATAGCTTAAGTTAATGATAATGTTGTAATTATATTATTTTTTGTTCCTATAAGGGTTTGCTTTGGTGTTGGAGAGGTTCTACTGTTGGTTGCACTTAGTGTGGAATCAGGACATCTAAAGAACTGGTCTAAGCCAAAACCGACTTGTCTAGTAATCCGACAAGGCTTGTTTTCAGCGGCCGGAGTGTTCTCACTTCTAACCGTCTTTCTAGCCACGGGACTTTACCTAACCGCTCTACAAGCACATAGAATCTCTAAGGATCTTCAAAACACTCATAGAGAAATCCTCGAGGCATCAGTTCTTTATGCATCTCCTCCAAGATCGCCCACGAATCGGATGGCTACGGTAGCTCGAGAAGGTCCTGCTACGGTTAGAGATGAGTCGACGTCTTTGGAATATCTTGTTTCTTTAAAGCAAATTGCACATATAGTATAGTGTACAATGTATAGTAGCTAAGATATACTAGTTAACATAATCATACGAGAAAAACAATGTTCTTACATAAGCAATACAAAAGTACATCTCCGCACCAAAACCTACTTTGTCCAATCAATAAATGAAACCTCTGAACCAAACCAGTTTTATACACCGTCCCAAAAACCTACATTAAACCGGTTAGCATAATTCACAGATAAAAAACTGTTTCTAGTTTTCTACCTGGTTCAAGATCCACAAACTTTAGCCTGGTTCTCATAAATCTGAAGTTTCCCTAAAACTCAAACCAGACCAAACTAAAATCAATGTAAAATCAGATAGCAAACATAACCATCTTCATGGTTTACTTCGGTTAGGTTCAAATTCAGTCTGATTCCCACTCCTCTGTCCTCAGGCTTTTTTCTGACCAGTGGATCGTTTTCTGCCTATTACAAACTTACTTGTAGCTGTGTCGTTGCGCGATAGCTCTGTTGTCACTGGCCGGACAACTGATGGAGGACGAGTTCCAGGAGCAAAGAGTCTTGGAACTTCAGAAGCTTCTGGCCAATCAGAGACACTTGGAAGCGGATTAAAATCAGCTGCGTAAACTCGAAGTGAACTCTCTGTATTGTAACAGTCATCTACATACTGCAAATGGTCACTGTTCATCCTCCTGCAAGCTGCTAACACATGCGAACACGGATACTTGCAAAGTTGCCATATTCCACACATGCAAACCCGGTTGCTAAAATTAACAACAAATCTCTTCTTTCCAACTTGCATCATTTCCGTGACCTGACACCTCTCTCCGGTCTGGTCTAATGGCAATACATCATGTGTTTGAGAAGCTACCTTGTACTCTTCAAGATTTTTCATGACATGTTTAGCGAATAGGTCTCTTCCGTTCAGTGATTCTGTTGGATAACCATGACGGGATTTGAAAAGCTTTGCCAGGTCATCAAAGATTAGCAAGATGCAAGTTGTGATTGGAAAATGCAGAGCTTTGTTTATGAAACCATAAGTCGTAAAGATTTTGTTTGCAGTCATGATCCCAAACCTAATCCCGCCATCATCGTAAGCCAGAGCCCATCGACGCAGAGGCATTTTTTCTAACCATTTTCGAGCCTCTGGGTCCATCTTTTCGATTTTCTTCAAGTAATAATCGAAACTTGATATGTCCATCGTAGACCCAGCCTTGTAAACCAACTCTGTCATGAAGTTGTTATGGAAAACGTCATAAAATTTAAAGCACATATGCCTCAGACAGAACCGGTGTTGCGCCCACTGACACTCAGGTTCGTTAACAACTGCAACTATGTCAGGATTCAGACTTGTTATAAGACAAACACCTTCCCTTTGCGTCACTTTATTTCTGATGCAAGCAAAGAACCAACGCCAGGTATCAGCTGACAAACTTTCTTGGGTAGTAATTGCAAACGCAAGTGGAAAAAGCCGGTTTTCAGCATCAAATCCCCCTGCAACCAACATTTTTGCAGGGTAATTACCGTTCAAGTCTATTGTATCCACTATGATCAAAGGTCTCAAGTGAGGAAACCCTTGAATTGACTGCTGAAACGCCCAAAACACGGAACGAAAGGTTGCATCTTTGGGATCAGGAAAAAGATCATATTGCCATTCCAAGACCATCTTGTTAGATGAGCTAAGGGCTGCCATGAACTTGGGCAGGGCCGGCCCATGGGTAAAGCCCATGAAGCAAGGGCTTTAGGCATCAAATAATTATAAGTAGTTTTAAAGGCATCCATTTTTAAAAAGTTACTTTGGTCTAGTGGTTAGATTGAAATCTTTTGTTGTACATGTCACGGTTTCGAATCCCATACATGTTAAAACTTGTATTTTTTTTTTTATAACAGCTTTTGTTAATGGGCCAAAAAAATTTTTGCTTTAGGCACTCAAATAGTTTGGGCCGGCCCTGAACTTGGGCAATACATTAAAACTGTTGTCCAAATCTCGCAAGATTGCAGTGATCGCTTTCTTTTTAGCATCCCACATATTAGTGCTCGAGACTGTGTAACCAAATTCTTCTTTCACCCACATGTTTAGCTCTGCAACTGAGAGCGAGGGCTGAGCCTTGATTAGACCTTTGAGCTCACCTGCCAGAAAATCTGAGCTCACATTTGCTGGCTTACAACTATGTGGACCTACATATTCTGTTATCTTGATGCCATTGTTGTTTGTTTTAGCAGCCTTAAGAATCCATACGCAGAGCCAGAGATTCGTACATTTATATTCATAGATACCAGAAATGTCACTTTCGTTTTTAGTGTAATTTCGATGTCTTCGATAAGAGTACAACTTCACTGCTTTCCCCAACTCATATTTATCTCGAAAAAGCATCCCAAGATGCAACTCACGTTCATCAAGCCATGAACTAGAGAAAATCATCTGCTCTGAGACATTATCTATGAGGCTTTTTGTTGGAACTGGATTTTTCATATTCGAATCCTTCTGCACAGCCCCAGCATTACCACCATTTTTTCCACAATTACCGCCATCCGTACCAAAGCTTTTTGTTGGAACTGGATTTTTCAGATTTGAATCCTTCTGTGCAGCCTCAGCATTATCACCATTTTTTCCACAGTTACCGCCATCCGTACTCTCATCTTCCTCAATCCATCCGTTACTGTTACCCTCCTGCAGAGTTTTTAATGTGTTATCTCTCACATTTACATCTGCATTGGTGTTAATATCCTCTTGCCGAGAACGTTTCCGGGTCACCTGATTCGCCAAGGAACTAGCAACAGGACCAACACCTTCATCAGGAACCGGTTTGACTTCTAGATACAACTCCACATTGTTAATAGAAGGATGACAACTTGGAACCTCAAGCATAGTCTCTAAACTACAATCAATAGGCATCTAAAATTCAAAACGTCATATTTATGTTCGTAATTTGTATAAAAATCATAAATTTGAAATTAAAATCTTGTTTTCATGTGTTTAATACAATTTTAAAAACAATATTATATAAATTACTTAATTATAATGGATTAATATGTTTTTAAAATATTAAATAGCCCTAAAACTAATCCCTGATTAATCCCCGTGTAATCCCCGATTTTCTTGCTAGGTGCTAGGCGCACCCTCACCGCCCGACTAGCGCCTAGCGATTTTTTGAACACGGGTTTAACATTTTAGTTTTGTCCAAAAAAAAAAAATACTTTAACATTTTAGCCGTTTTAATACTTTTAATGATTGTAAACTATATATATATTTTTTTTGACAGCAATATACTTTATATTAAATTTAGATTATTATTTATTAATCATTGAATTTTACTGTTTAATTACGGTAAAATAATTAAAAAACGATAATTAGAAAACCCTCCCGCTTCTTTAAATTGAAACTGTTGTCGCTTCTTCTTCATCACCATTCTTGCGTTCTCTTCTTCACTTTGCAAATCCCTTTTCTGTTGAAATTTCTAGGGTTTCTCTTCGTTGATTCGAATTTTCTTTGGAGAGGTTGAAGAATCGAGAAAGCTATGTCCTTGCGACCGAGCGCGAAGACAGAGATCCGTCGAAGCCGTTACAAGGTCTCTGTTGATGCGGAAGAAGGACGCAGAAGAAGAGAAGACTTTTTAGTCGAGATTCGTAAGAACAAACGCAAGGAAAGCTTGATGAAGAAACGCCGCGACGGTGTTAGTGAAGTTTTGCCTCCTGCTTCCGACGATCCCTTTGATAGTTTGGTAAAAGTTTGATCTTTGGTTTTGGATTAGTGAAGTTTAGGTTTTGAAAGATACGACCTTTATCGTTTTACTCGAATGGTTTCGAATTGGGTAATTAGATTAGATCTCTGGTGATGGTTGTAGTTGGAGATAGCGAATATGATTACTGGGGTTTTCTCGGATGATCCTTCATTGCAGCTTGAGTACACGACTCGGTTCAGGAAGATTCTATCATTGGGTAAAATTCTTCAACTTTTCTTGATCTTGATTTGAAAAGATACGAACTTTATCGGTTTCTATAAGTTTTGTGCTCTTATATATGTTCAGATAGTAGTCCACCTATCGATAAAGTGATAAAATCTGGAGTTGTGCCACGTTTTGTTAAGTTTCTTAAGAAGGATGATTACCCTAAGCTTCAGGTTAGAAGAAAAAGTTCCCATCTTTGATGATTAGTGTAGTCTTTGGTTCTGATTTCTGAATTCTGTGATCTTTTTATAGCTTGAGGCTGCTTGGACTTTATCAAACATTGCTTCTGGAACATCTGAGCATACCAAGGTGGTGATTGATCATGGTGCTGTTCCAATATTTGTTCAGCTCCTTGCTTCCCCTGATGGTGATGTCCGTGATCAGGTATAGTGCTTCTTTGAATGGGTTATCTATGTGAGTTCAAATTCTGAAAAGTTTGATGTTACACCTAATTTTTCAGGCTATATGGGGACTGGGTAATGTTGCTGGTGATTCAATACAGTGTCGTGACTTAGTTCTTAACTCTGGGGCATTTCTTCCACTCTTGCATCAACTGAATGAGCCTGCTACGTTGTCGATACTTAGAAATGCTACTTGGACTTTATCAAACTTCTTCCGTGGCAACCCTTCGCCGCTCTTTGACCTGGTATACTAACTATCGCCATATCCTTTGACCTGGTATACTTCTTCCTGTACTTAACTTGTGAAACATGATTAACAGGTGAAACCTGCTCTCCCTGTACTTAAACGACTTGTTCATTCGGATGATGAACAAGTCTTGTCAGATGCTTGCTGGGCATTTTCAAATCTGTCTGATTGTTCAGATGAAAATATCCAAAGTGTGATAGAGGCTGGTGTTGTCCCAAGACTAGTTGAACTTCTCCAGTTAGTACTTCTCCAATATAAAAGTTTAACCCCTTTTGCTGACAAGTTTGGATACTGAAGGCTGACAATTTTTTCTTTTGCAGACACCCTTCTCCAGTTGTGCTTGTTCCTGCACTTCGTACCATTGGGAATATAGTTTCTGGAAATAGTCTGCAGACCCAGGTATGTAATTCATTTTCCATTTATGGAACCTTCAAGAACACTTCTGTAGTGAATTTATCGTTTTTTCAAAGCAATAGCACTATCAAAAGCTTATTTTGTTATCCTATATCATTATATGTTGCTTGAGTACAATGTTGAGATTAGATTTTGTAACCAAATAACTCTTTGAACTTATTTTTCAGTGTGTGATCAATTGTGGTGCTTTACCCGTTCTTGCGGACCTGCTTACTCAAAAATATACGAGAGGCATAAGGAGGGAATCTTGCTGGACGATTTCAAACATCACTGCAGGCATAAAAGAACAAATTCAGGTGAGCAGTTTTTGTTTGCTTCCTCACGTACATGAACAAACTTACATATCTGTATATGACCGCCCGTTGCTATCACTAAATGTGTACTATTTGTCTTTCTTTCACTAATGATGATAACAGTCGGTTATTGATGCAAATTTGATTCCAACGTTGGTCAATCTGGCTCAACATGCCGAATTTGACATAAAGAAAGAAGCTGTATGGGCAATTTCAAATGCTACCGGTTGTGGTTCTCCTAATCAAATCAAGTACATCCCTGTCTACTTTCTTTATCACTTTTTTAATGCTTATTGATCATCAATTCACAATCTCCATTGGTGTGTATCAGATATTTGGTGGAGCAGAATTGCTTAAAAGCTTTATGTGACATCCTAGTGTGTTCAGATCTAAGAATCATCTTAGTGTCTCTAGATGGATTGGAAATGATTTTGATGGCTGGAGAGGTGGAGAAGAACACAAGACACGTGAACTCTTATTGTCAAATGATTGAAGATGCGGAAGGGCTAGAAAAGATCGAGAACCTGCAGCTCCATGTCAACAATGAGATCTATAACAAGGCTGTGAAGATTCTGCAAACATACTGGCTTGTAGAGGAAGGTGGTGATACTGATGATGATCATGATGATGATGATGATGATGGTTGTTCTCAACCGGGCTTCCAGTTTGATTTTACTCGTTAAGATCCCACAAAATCTGACATTGAAGGAAAGGCATGCACATATGACGGGTCAAACTCAAAGAGTGAGTCAAGTGTCAAGTTCTTGATGACATAAAAGCATTGGCTCCATTTTTCACGGAGTCCACATTGTTTAGTGTTTTTGAAGTATTTTGGGGCTTTTAGAGTTGATGCAGCATCTGGTGTCTACTTATAGTTGAAAGTTCACTCAAATTCTTGAAATCTCCTTGGTGATTATAGAACAAACAAGGGTTTTGTGAGGTTAATTAGCATTAACAATTTTTACTATGCAAAGATTTTTAGTAATTCTTTAAAGTATGTATGTGTTATTTGATCATTACTAAAACCACAAAGTTGACCACTCGAAGAAACCGTACTCAGTTCCGTATTTGATCAAACACCGGTCAAAGTGGCGCCAAAGAAAAAAAACACCTTTTCCTCTGTTTCGCCGTTTTGGCGGGTGGCTTCTTCTGATAATAGACAAGGAATAAAAGGGCATTTTCGTCATTTAAAAACCAAAATCATAGGCATTGAGGTTCCAAAATCTCTCTCTATGTGACACTCTTCTTCTCCACTCTCTTCTCTGCATGTTTTGTGAAGAGACGTGATTTTTTCTAAACCCTAATAATCAGATTGATTCTTACTACTTTCTTTATTACTTTCCTTGATCTCTGTTTTCAAACCCTAGATTCCCCCATCGCGCACTAAGCTTCGATTTAGACCCTAAAAATTCACTGAGAAGGTAAGTGATCTTCTTCTGATCTCGTCTTCTATTTAGATTCGAGTGAAGATGATCTGTTGAAAATGATGGCTCTGTGTTTGTTTGTTTGATTCAGAAACCATGAAAACAAGAGCTGAAGATATGATCGAACATAACAACAAGAAGACTTGGGTTGATTGTGGTACAAGCAAACCCCATCATTGGCGTTGGCGTGGTGGTCCTATTAACCCTAATTTCACTCCGATTTGGGGGAAATCGTCTCATCCGATCCTAACCAATACGCCTCCGAAGAAATTGAAATTTGGGTTTGATTAAACCAGAGTTAAACCCAAAACCAAACTGAATCAATTTAATTTGATTAAACCGGGTATTAATCGAAACTATATCAAACCAAACCGGTTTTCTGATAACGATAATTAGAAAATCGTTATTGTTTTTTTCCTTTGGCTTCTTTAAACGCATCAGTTTTTCGCTCCTTGGCCATTTTTGTTTGCATTCTTGCTCAATTGCAAATTTCTTTGCCTCTTTCACTTCTCAGTTTGATTTTTTCGAGGGTTCTCTTCAAGTTTTGTAAACTGCGATTCTCTTGGAAGAGAGGTCAAAGAAGAGAGAAAGCCATGTCGCGGATACCCAAAGCCAAGACAGATGAGGTTCGTCTAAACGTGTCTCACAAGTAATCAATCTCTGGTTTTGGGTTTCGTTTTGATGCAGTTTTTGATTGTGTAGGTGGTCGAAGATATGATCGATGGTCTTTTTTCAGATGATCCTTCAAGACAACTTGAATACGCTACCAAGTTCAACGCATTTTTATCATCACACGGTAAAAAACTTCCTCTGTTTACTTTCTTTACTTTTCTTGATCTCAATCTGAATGTTTCTTTAAGTTTCTTTCTTCTTATATATGTTGTCCAGAGGAAAACCTTCCTTTCGATGAGATAGAAGTATCTGTATTTGTGGCACGTTTTGTTGAGTTTTGTAAGAAGAACGATAAAACCGAGCTTCAGGTTAGGAGAGAAAGTTCCCATAAATATTTATATTGTAATGATTGGTCATATTGTCCTCTAATTCTGATATTCCATGATCGTTAGTCTGCTGCTGCTTCCGTTCTAATAAACATGTCTAAAAGGAACACCAAAGTGCTGATTGATCACGGTGCTGTTCCAATCTTTGTCCATCTTCTTCGTTTCGATACTGGTTATCTCCAATTTCAGGTAATATTTTACTTCTTATAGATAAAAATGCCACATATGAGTTGAAATTTTTGATGAAAATAATTGATGTTATACCTGATTTGCAGGCTACATGGGCACTAGGTAATGTCGCTAGTGCTTCAACACAATCCCGTGACGATGTTCTAAGGTGTGGTGCATTGATTCCACTGTTGGCTCAGCTGCATGTGAATAATCATATAATGATGCTTAGATTCGCCGCTTGGACTTTGTCAACGTTCTGCTTTGGCCAGCCTCGGCCTCCATTTCACCAGGAGGTCTAGCTTCTCTCTCCATCTCCAGTCTTTGTTTCCTCAGTTTGTATACATTTAACATATGGAAACATGATTAACAGATGAAACCTGCTCTCGCTGTACTTGGACAAGTTCTTCGTTTCAATGATAAAGAAGTCTTGTCACATGCTTGTAGGGCACTTTATTATCTGTTTGATGGTTCAAGAGAAACCTCCCAGAATTTTATCGCCGCTGGTCTTGTCCCAGGACTAGTTCAACTTCTTGGGTTAGTACTTACTCCAAAACAAAATTTTAAAGCCTTTGCTACATGTTTAGATAATGAAGGCGGACAATTTTATTCTTTTGCAGATACGGTTCTCCAGCTGTGATTGAACCTGCAATACGTACCATTAGGAATCTAACTAATGTAGATGATCAGCAGACCAAAGTATGTACTTTATATTCCATTTATGGTACCTTGTAGAACACTTCTTGGTCATAATGTCTCTTGAATGATTATATCACTATACTGATATAAGTTGAGAGGATGCATTGTCATATGTTGCGATTAGATTTAGTAAAATTGTCTCTCTTTTACACTCCGATTAGGCTCTGAATAAACCTCTTTGAACTTATTTTCAGATTGTGGTGATCAATTGTGGTGCTTTACGACTTCTTGCCAACCTACTTACTCAGAACCATCAGATAGCCATAAAGAGGGGCGCTTGCTCGACGATTTCAAACATCACTGCAGGCACTAAAGAACTAATTCAGGTGAGAAGTTTTTGATTGTTGTAGTTGCAGAACATAAAAAATAAATTTACCCTCATGTTGCTATCACTAATTCTTTTCTATCTGTCTCTCTTTACTCTAATGTATAACAGTCAGTTATTGATGCAAATTTGATCCCAATCTTGGTCAATATTGCTCAAAATGCTAAACTTGGCATAAAGGAAACAGCTTTATGTGCAATTGTAAATGCCACCCTGCGTGGTTCTTATGCTCAAATCGAGTATGTCGTCCTTGTCTTTTCTCTATGTTACTTCTCATTGCTTTTTATTGATCATATCAAGTAACAATCTCCATATATTGGTGTGATTCAGATACTTGGTGGAGCAGGGTTGCATACAAACTTTTTGTGATCTCCTGATATGTCCAGATCGAAGGATCATCTCAGTGTGTCTGGATGGATTGGAAAACATTTTGAATGCCGCATGGGCAGAGAAGAAGATAGAAGACATGCAAAGTTACTGTCAGCTGATTCAAGATGCGGAAGGGATAGAAAAGATTCAGAAGCTGGTACAAATCGTAAGCTATGAGATCAACACGAAGTCTTCGAAGATTCTGCAAACATACGGGATGATATATAAAGGATGATGAGCAGACACAACAACCTCCAAGTTGATGATCATCTTGGTTTTTCAGTTGTCAGAGAACCAAGTTCCAGTTCTTGTGGAGGATTCAACTTCAATTGAAATGTTACAAAAAAAAAAAAAATCCCAACTGTTAAAAGTCTTCATCTACTCGGTGAGATCCCACACTAGCTGATATTAGAGTGTAAAAAACCTTTGATGGAGGGTCAAAACTCAAAGAGTATAGTCACGTTCTTTGGTGGAAGCTTTGGCTCCATTGTTCAAGTTTCATGGAGTTTACTTTGTTTATGAAAAGAAATGATTTTGGAGATGAAAAACTACAAAACAAAGCATAGAACCAGAACTCAAATTATATTATTAAACCAAACTGAAGCAGGACCAGTTTGAGTTCGATCAATTTCCCTCATCTATGGAAAACTGATCGAGGTCAAACCAGACACTTCATTCATTACATCGATAAGACATATCTCTAACCAAATAAAGAAGTAATTAGAAGTTAATTTGAAAGAAGATGCAGAGAGATTATCTTCAAAGTGCAGAAATAGTGTTTGCAAAGTCGTGGAAAAAATCAGAGAATCTTAGATCATCTCCATCCAAACATCTCTGAAACACCAAATCTGAATCTTCAAGGCCCTCAAAATCAGAACAAAGATTTGGATCCACCAAGACATGATCATCAACAACAGCTTCGGAATTGGTCAAAAGAGTTGCAGTAGTAGTCTCCTCAAGTTCCTGATGAGTGTTTTCGGAAAACCAATGATCGAGGGAGCTTTCAAAATTAGTCTCGAAATCAATGAGTTGATCAGTATCCATCTCCAGATCATAGTCCAAGTTTCCTTCAGGTAAAGCATTGTTGTTGTTATCCATGTCTTGATCATAATTCAAGTTTACTTCAGTTAAAGCATTGCTGTTGTTGTCCGTAACACAAAAACTTCCACAAATGGAGAGAATCTGATCTTGTTCTTCAGTGATCTCGTTGAAAGTTGCAGGTGATTCATCAGGGACGCAACAAATTGCAGAAGTACTAGACTGAAGATTTAGGGTTTGATGATCTGGCTCTTGACTAATCTCGTTGAAACTTTGTGGTAAATCATCAGGGATGCAACAAATTGCAGAAGTGGACTGAAGATTTAGGGTTTGATCATGAGTTCCGTGGTCTGAAACAATTATTCTCTTCACGTTGTTCTTCAGGTCCTCATGATCATTAGCGAAAGCTTGATTACTGACTAAAGCTTCCTCCGCACGCAATTCCTTGAGATTACTCAACAACGTCCACATGGAATCGATGGCGTCACTAAGCTCTTGGGGATTCTCCGATCTGGGAAGGCTCTCGTTATTCCACCAAAACCCTAACCCTAGATTCTTACGAGTCAAACATATACCAACGTCTTCCCTCATCGCTTTGTTATCCTCCTGAACAGGAACAGGACGTTTTCCCGAGAGAAAAGCAGAGACAATGCCATCAACGGAGGAGTGACCGAAAGAGTAGAAGGAGACGTTGGATTCAGAAGAAGGAGGAGTCGCTAAGATAGCGATTTGTGCACCGGAGAGAAGACAAAGCTGAGAGGCTTTGCTATAGAGACCTTCACGGCGTTTGGTGCAAGTAACCCTAAGAGAATCTCTCTTCTGTATCATCTCAATCGCAATTTTCCTCCTCGTGCCTCCTTTTTTCACCATTCTGATTTTCTCAATTTCACCACAGAGAGACTTCAAAGAGAGAGAAAGAGAGAGAGTTTTTTGTTTCTGCGTGTGGAGAAAGATAGGTGACAAGTACTGAAGGCTACTACTATCGCTCATATAAATAAGGAAATATCGAAACCCCATCATTCTCCTAAACCAATTTCGACCAGGTAAACACTAAACCGATATCGTTTCCATAAAACCTAATTAAGAGCCAAACCAATTCGATTTCAATTTTTTTAACGGTTAGCATAATTAATAAACCATCGCTCCTAAATCTATTTCATCTAAACCTTCATGGAGTCACTTTGTTTCGTTTTGAGACAATCTCTCTTCTCTCGAACACTCTTCTTCACTCTCGTCTCTACATTTTATCTCAACAGGTTGTGACAGCAAGCTTCGATTAAAACCCTAAAAAATTCAAATCACAGTGAGAAGGTAATGATCTGCTTCTGATTCGGGTGATCGAAGATTATCTGTCGAATATGATTCTGATCGCTCTCTGTGTTTGTTTCAGGTCTTGGTTGATTCAGAAACCATGAAAACAAGAGCTGAAGTTATGATCGAACAGACCAACAAGAAGACGACTTTTGCTGATTGTGGTTTTTGGCGTGGTGGTCATAAGGTTAGACCTATAAACCCTAATTTCACTCCAATTTGGGGGATAATCGAGATTGATCTGATCCGATCCTAACCGATACGCCTAACAAATTGAAATTTGAGTTTGATTAAACCGGAGTTAAACCCAAAACCAAACTCACTCAATTTAATTGGATTCAACCGGATTTTAATCGAAATTAAATCTAAACCATACCGGTTTTCTGCCGAGCGCTAATTAGAAAATCGTTTTTTTCTTTCTTTCTTTCGCTTCTTGAAGTGTTTTTCGCTCCTTCACCATTTTTGTTTAGACTCTTTCTCAATTGCAAAAGTTCTTTGCCTCTTTCACATTTCAGTTGAGATTTCTAGGGTTTCTCTTTAAGTTTCGTAAATTGCTTTTGATAGGTTGAAGAAGAGAGAAAGCCACGTTGCTTGAAACCCAAGCTTCGTTTAAACAATCTCACACCAAGTTTCAGCAGCTATGAGTTTACTCGATGGCCTTTCTTCAGATGATCCTTCAATACAGCTTGAATCCGCTACCAAGATCAACAGGTTTCTATTAGATGGTAAATAAAACTTCATCTCTGTTTACTTTCTTTACTTTTCTTGATTTCGATCTGAATGTTTCTTTAAGTTTTGTGTTCTTATATATGTTAAGGAATGAAAGGAAACAGTACTCTTAATATCGAAGATCTGATACGATCTGGAGTTGTAGCTCGTTTCGTCCACTTTCTCTGCAATGACGAGCTCCCTTTGCTTCAAGTTAGATGAAAAAAAGAACCCCCATCAAATTGATATTTACGATTATCAGTGTAATCTTTGATACTGATATATTTAATGATGTTTTCTAGTATGAGGCAGCTTGCGGTCTAACAATCATTGCTGATCTTAAACCGGATCTGGTAGTTGATCAGGATGCTGGTCCAATCTTAGTCGAGCTTCTTGATTCTCCTAAACATTATGTCCGTCAGCAGGTAGGCATTGTACTTATGTAGTAGGTATGAATGCTTTGTCACAGATATGAGTTTTGACATTATTCTTGCAGGCTATATGGGCACTGGGTAATGTTGCTAATCATACGATACACCGTGACTATGTTCTTGGATGTGAGGTATTGAAGCCACTGCTGAGTCAGCTGTACAAGGATACTAACTTGTCGATGCTCAGAATTGCCACTCGGACTTTGTCTTACTTGTGTCATGGCATGCCTCCGCCTACCTTTGACGAGGTCTTCTTACTTCTCTTTCTCTCTGTTTCCTCTGTTTGTATACGTCCAATACTTTCAACATATGAAGCATTGATTAACAGGTGAAACCTGCACTTGAAATACATCTTAATTCAAGTGATGAAGAAGTCTTGAAGTATGTTTGCTGGGCAATTTCGTATCTGTGTGATGGTTCAGAAGATGTAATCCAAAGTGTTATTGAAGCTGGTTTTGTCCCAAAACTAGTTGAAGTTCTCCGGTTAGTATTTTTCAGGATCCTTTATTGTGACATGTTTGGATACTGAAGGCTGACAATTTTTTCTTTTGCAGACACCCTTCTCCAGTTGTGCTTGTTCCTGCACTTCATACCATTAGGACCATAGTTACTGCAAATAATCACCGGATCCAAGTATGTAATTCATATTCCACTTGTGGAGATATCAAAACGATAAAACTGTCAAAAGCTTATTTTTATCACAATGTCTCTAGAATGTTTAGTAGAAAAGATGCAGTGCTTTCTTTGTTATATGTTCCTTGTTTACAATTTTGTGGTTAGATTTTGTCACCAAACAACGAAGTGCTCTGCGTATGCTCTGAATAAATCTCTTTGAACTTATTTTTCAGTGTGTGATCAATTGTGGTGCTTTACCCATTCTTGGCGACCTGTTATCTCGAGACTATGGGAGATACATAAAGATAGACACTTTCAATACGATTATAAGCATCACTTCAGGCTTTGGAGAACAAATTCAGGTGAGAAGCTTTTGTTGCTTTACGATTTCATCAGTTATTAATTGTTGTAGTTGCAAAACATATACTAATCTTTTTCTATTTGTCTTTCTTTTCCGCTGGTGGTAACAGTCAATTATTGATGCAAATATGATTCCAAAGTTGGTATATCTGGCTCAAAATACTGAACTGGAGTTGCAGAACGAAGCTGTATGGGCAATTTGCAATGTGACCACAGGTTGTTCTGATGATCAAATCAAGTATGTTCTTGTCTTCTCTCGTTTTTACTTTGCATTTCTTTCTATTGATAATAAAGTCACAATCTCCATATATTGGTGTGATTCAGATACTTGGTGGAGCAGGGTTGCATAAAGCCTTTATGTGATCTCCTGGTATGTTCAGACGTAAAGATCATCTCAGCGTGTCTGGAAGGATTGGAAAAAATGTTGAATGTCGGAGAGGCAGAGAAGAACATAGGAGAGGTGAACAATTACTGTCAGCTGATTGAAGGTGCGGAAGGGCTAGAAAAGATTGAGTACCTGCAAAAACACGAAAGCGAGGAGATCTACGAGAAGGCTTTGAAGATTCTGGAGACATACTGGGATGAAGAGGATGATGAGGAGACACAACGACCTCCAAGTCCAAGGTGATGGATCTTGGCGACATTTTGATCTCTCCGTCACTGGTTCGTCAATTGAAAGTACAGAGTCGATAGAAGAGCTTTTGCTCCATTTTTCAAGTTTGATGTTTACTTTTGTTTCGTTGACGTTCTGAGGTTATTGGAGATGTCTTATGAGTAAAAAATAAACAAACTAAAAAGAAACAAAAGAAAACTTAGCCTCAAATAACAAGAAAATCCTAATGGTTAATTGCTTTGTTTCCCTGCAACGATCTTAAAATTTGGTAGAGATCTTAAAATTGAACGGCTACGATCAAATATACTTGTGAAACCATTGACCACGAAGAAACCGTAATCTGATCAAAAGTGGCGCGGGAAAAAAAAAGATTTCCTCAAAGTTTCCTATTTCGCCGTTTTGGCGGGTGGCTCCTCTGATAATAGACAATGAATGAAAGGGCATTTTGGTCATTTACAAACCAGATCATAGGCATTGTGCTTGCGGTGTCTCTCTCTCTATCTGTGTGACACTCTTCTTCTTCACTCTCTTCTCTGCATGTTTTGTTGTGAAGAGACGTGATCTTCTCTAAAACCCTAATAACCAGATTGATTCTTCTCCTTTCGTTACTACTTTCCTCTACCTCTGCTTTTTAAACCCTAGATTCCCTAATCGCGGCGCTAAGCTTCGATTAAAACCCTAAAAATTCATCTCTATTGAAAATGCTATATCTCACTGACAAGGTAAATGATATGCTTCTGATCTCTTCTTCTATTTAGATTCGAGTGAAGATGATCTGTTGAAAATGATGGCTCTGTGTTTGTTTCAGGCCTTGGTTGATTCAGAAACCATGAAAAGCAGAGCTGAAGAATTTATGGAACAGAACAAGAACAAGGCTTTTGCTGACTGTGGTACAAGCAAACCCCATCATTGGCGTTGGCGTGCTTCCTCTATTTACTTTATTTACTTTTCTTGATTTCGATATGAAAGATTCCTCTACTTTTCTTGATTTCGAATGTTTCTTTAAGTTTTGTGATCTTATGATCTGTCCAGGAATGCAAGGAAACAGGATTCTTAATATCGAAGATATGATACGATCTGGAGTTGTAGCTCGTTTCGCTTACCTTCTTCACTATGAAGACTACCCTCAGCTTCAAGTTAGAAGAAAAAAAGAACCCCCATCAAATTGATATTACGATTATCAGTGTAATCTTTGATACCGATATATTCAATGATCTTTTCTAGTGTGAAGCAGCTCGCGGTCTAGCAATCTTTGCTGCTTATATACCGGATGTGGTAGTTGATCACAATGTTGTTCCAATCTTAGTCACGCTTGTTGCTTCTTCTAGAGATTATTATGTCCGTCAACAGGTAAGCATTGTACCTATGTAGTAGATATGTATGAATACTTTGTCACTGATATGAGTGTTGACATTACTCTTGCAGGCTATATGGGCACTGGGTACTGTTGCTTATCATCGAAGACACCGTGACTACGTTCTTAAATGTGGGGCATTGAGGCCACTGCTGATTCAGCTGTACAAGGATACTAACTTGTCGATGCTCAGAATTGCCACTTGGACTTTGTCTAACTTGTGTCATGGCATGCCTCCGCCTACCTTTGACGAGGTCTTCTTACTTCTCTTTCTCTCTGTTTCCTCTGTTTGTATACGTCCAATACTTTCAACATATGAAGCATTGATTAACAGGTGAAACCTGCACTTGAAATACATCTTAATTCTAGTGATGAAGAAGTCTTGAGATATGTTTGCTGCGCAATTGCGTTTCTGTGTGATGGTTCAGAAGATGGAATCCAAAGTGTGATTGAAGCTGGTTTTGTCCCAAAACTAGTTAAAATTCTCCGGTTAGTATTTCTCAGAATCCTTTGTGACATGTTTGGATACTGAAGGCTGACAGTTTTTTACCTTTTCAGACACCCTTCCAAGTATGTACTTGGTCCTGTACTTCATACAATTGGGACTATAGTTACTGGAAATAATCACCAGAGCCAAGTATGTAATTCATATTCCACTTATGTTGTCCACTTTGTGGACTAATCGTTTATCAAAACGATAAATCTATGGAAAGCTTATTTTTACCACAATGTCTCTAGAATGTGCTTGCTTTGTTATATGTTCCTTGTTTACAATGTTACGATTAGATTTTGTAACCAAAAAACAAGTGTTCAGGCTCTGAGTAAACCTCTTTGAACATATTCTTTAGGCTGTGATCAATTTAACCCTTCTGTAGCTATTACTAATTGTGTTCTATTTGTCTTTCTTGCACTGATGATAACAGTCGGTTATTGATGCAAATTTGATTCCACCGTTGGTCAATCTGGCTCAAAATGCTGAATTTGAGATAAAGAAAGAAGCTGTATGTGCAATTTCAAATGCCACCGTGGGTGGTTCTCCTAATCAAATCAAGTACATCCCTGTCGTCTCTCTTTATCACTTTTTTCATGCTTATTGATCATTAAGTCACAATCTTCATTGATGTGATTCAGATACTTGGTGGAGAAGGGTTGCACAAAACCTCTATGTGATCTCCTGGTATGTCCAGATGTAATGATCATCTCAGTGTGTCTGGATGGGTTGGAAAACATTTTGAAGGCCAGAGAGGCGGAAAAGAACACAGGAGACGTGAACTATTATTGCCAACTGATTGAAGATGCGAAAGGAGTGGAAAAGATTGAGAACCTGCTAAAACACGAAAGCAATGAGATCTATGATAAGGCTTTGAAGATTCTGGAGACATACTGGGATGTAGAAGAAGATGATGAGGAGACACAACAACCTCCAAGGTGATGATGATCTGGTCTTTCAGTTCCAGTTCCTGTTGGAGGATTCAACTACAGTTTTGTTTTGTGAAGTTTTTGAGACTATCAGAGATGGATTACACATCGGTATTCTTAACGTGTATGAAACTTTTTGACTACTATTCATCTTTCCAAGTGGATTATATAATCTCTCTAGAACATTTGGGTATATGTTTGTTTAATCACTCTCATATAGAGGGACACATGAAGTTTGATCTCGAGCTTTGGCATATTTGTGACTAGGTTTTAGATATGTCTTGATCATTAGACGTAGTAAGTTGTAATATATGTCTAGTATTCAAACAACCAGCTGCATACAAGCTACTATGACTCACTTAAGGAATCGGCAGCAATAGGCTATGTACCTGAACGTAAATGTTAATCAAGAGGAATTTGTCCTAATCCTGCAGTTGTGTTGCATTGAAAGAAATGGCTACCGTTTAGGTTTAAGAAGAGCAAATAGGAGTTATCAATCCGGCACTTCAGTCGATTCAATATCTCGGGTATGTATGAAACCACAGATTCTTTGGTTCTGCCTGCCTCGGAAATGAGAATTTTGCTGGTGTTGATTCTCTTCGGCTGTCTACAAAGAACAAGAATGCGATCAATCATCTGGATGTTCCGGTTTTCGTTGAACCTGTAAATGATCCACCGTTTATTAATGTTCCTCAATATATAATGCTGGAGAGTAATGGGAATGAGTCAGCTTAAACCAAACTTAATGGAACCTTGCCAAATTATATAACCAAAAGAACTATGGTTTGATTTTAGTTTGGCTTCAATTAAGCTTTTTAGTTTGTTGATGGTTCTTTTTTGTTTCATTTTGTTTAGTCTAAATTTGATTAGTTCGGTTTTTCATTTTGAACATGAAGATCATATTAGACGCATATTTGAACGTACATGTAATAAAGAGATAGGTGATTGGTGGAATGGTCATTTCGAGTTTTGCTTGGAAAAATGGTTTGGTACACATCTCTAATACCTTTATGTCACTTGGTTGCAGTTATAGGATCTGTGATTGTGGTAGAGTCTCTTGTGGTCTTCTCTCTCGCTACTCTGATTCTGTTCTTCACTTTCAAATGCGCATTTCTACTAGTACACGAGAGAAGAAGTGAACATTATGCCCACAAGAATTTGCAGAAACCAACGGTAACCAAAAAACTCATCTCTCTCTTGTGTTTTCTTGTAACCATTTTGTGTTCAAACATAAAAAAAGGTAATTCTCACTTCTGGTATAGACACATATGTGGAATTTTCAGCAAGCAGAATAAGACAAGCCTCAAAGGTTGATGAATCTGAAGAATCTCATGGAAGAAAGCCAGGGATTGCTTAGGCACATGCATATGCTTTTTTGGTCACGCATGCTTCTGTTGTAAATGCTCATTGATTACCTTTTTGGTTATCTACCAAAATTTATCAGATAAGATCAGCCATAGATTAAAGAATATATATTTCCTTTTTGATCCGAGTAGATTTATAGACAAATGACATGAGTTTAGACTTTAACAAACAAATAAGTCAAACACAAAACAGAGAACCAGAACACAAATACAAATACAAAACATGAAACCAGAACTTAAAACATTATCATTAAACAAACCAAAACTGAAGCAGAACCAGTTTGAGTTCGATCAATTTCCCTCATACATATATGGAAAACTGATCGAGGTCAAACCAGTTTGCATTAGTCTCCTCAAGTTCCTGTTGAGTGTTGTTGGAAAACCAAGCATCGAGGGAGCTTTCAAAATTTGTCTCGAAATCAACGAGTTGATCAATATCAATATCCATCTCTGGACCATAATCCAAGTTTCCTTCAGGTAAGGCATTGTTGTTGTTGTTGTCCGTAACACAAAAGCTTTCACAAATCGAGAGGATCTGATCCTTCTCTTCATCATCGAGTACAACGAGATCATCAGGGACGCAACAAATTGTAGAAGTATTGGACTGGAGATTTAGGGTTTGGTCTGGCTCTTGAGTAATCTCGTTGAAATTTTCAGGTGAATCATCAGGAATGCAACAAATTGCAGAAGTGGACTGAAGATTTAGGGTTTGATCGATCTTCTCGATTTTCTTCAAGTCCTCGTGATCATTAACGAAAGCTTCCTCCGCACGCAATTCCTTGAGATTACTCAACAACGTCCACATGGAATCGATGGCGTCACTAAGCTCTTGGGGATTCTCCGATTTGTTAAGGCTCTCGTTATTCCACCAAAACCCTAACCCTAGATTCTTACGAGACAAGCAGATACCAACGTCCTCCCTCATCTCTCTGTTATCCTCCGGAACAGGAGCCGAAACAGGACGTTGTCCGGAGAGAAAAGCAGAGACAACGGCATCAACGGAGGAGTGACCGAAAGAGTAGAAGGAGACGTTGGATTCAGAAGAAGGAGGAGTGGCTAAGATAGCGATTTGTGCACCGGAGAGAAGACAAAGCTGAGAGGCTTTGCTAAAGAGACCTTCACGGCGTTTAGTGCAAATTGGCATGAGAGAAGTCTTCTTCGTAATCTTCTTGATCTCAATCTTCCTCTTTGTTCCTCTGTTCACCATTCTGATTTTCTCAATTTTCAGTGTGGAGAAAGATAATTGAAGTGAAGGCTTCTATCTCTCAATCTCATATAAATAAGGAATATGAGATGAGGAGACACAACAATATAATTACCTCCAAGGTGATGGATTTTAGCCCAACAACATCAAATTGTTAGATTTCCTTTTTTTTTTTTTTTTTTTTTTTACCGTTTTAACTTTTAAGTAAAGGTAAAACTATCTTTTTAACTTCCATCCTTTTTCCTTTTTGCAACCCTAATTCTCGACAGCTGCTCTTTTTCCTTTTTTCTTTGGGCTAAAATCTTTTACAAAAGAAAAGGGAGGGACTAGTGAGTGTTTAATCCTTCATATGAGAAGTAACTGGAATATAATAGGATCATCCTTTTGCTTCTAATTTCTTGTGAATTGTTGCTACCAGTGGAGAAAAATAATCGATCAAACATGAGTGAAGAAACATTAATAATATATCAAAGGAGTGAATTGTTCGAAAACGCGATGGGATCTATCGCGGGATAGGCTTGTTTGTATCTGTGAGTTGGTTAACTAGGTTCATTATCGAACTCTTGTGGCCGACATTATGTTCTTCGTGGTCAACATGGAAAGACGAATCAGACGTAGTGGTGTTACTTTCTGCAGCACCGTTCTTGGTTTTGGGCGTTGTGGTAGTGCGGTCCGTTCCGGTTCCAACAGCCAATACCAACTGTGGAGCAGGAAATATGTCTGTCTCAGTCGGGATTATGATGATAGCTATGTGCATTATGTCACAGCGTCATATCATAGAATTGTCTGTCTGTGCATTTTCGCTACTGGCTGGAGGAATGGCCGTCTCGCTTCTCTATTCGCCGTCAAAAGATATATGTATGCAACATGTTGTCTACACCGATTTTGTTGTGTTTGTATGAGGTTTGAATGTATTTTATGGTAGTTAAGTAAGCACACACACAATTGTTCAATTTCTATAAGACCAAACCTCTTCACTCTATTTTACATGTTCCTTATAAACAAAGATCATATACTGCCAAAACAATTTCTAACTCGCAACTGTTCCTGACAAGCGAGAGAACACAGGACATAATAAGTAACGACAGGACAGCCTAATGGGAAATTAATTCAGCGATCAAGATAGATATAGTAGATGCTTCAACGTAATATTGGAGTCTTTAGACTTACGAAGATGATACGGAAGAACTTTTTTTCCTCTGTTTCGCCGTTTTGGCGGGTGGCTTCCTCTGATAATAGACAAGGCATACAAGGGCATTTTCGTCATTCAAAAACCAAAATCTCTCTCTATGTGACACTCTTCTTCACTATCTTCTCTGCGACTGCATGTTTTGCGAAGAGACGTGATCTTCTCTAAACCCTAATAACCAGAATGATTCTCATCCTTTTGTTTCTACTTACTACTTTCCTTTACATATGCTTTTTAAACCCTAGATTCCCAAATCGCGGAGCTAAGCTTCGATTAAAACCCTAAAATTCATCTCTATTGAAATTAGAGAGTGCTAGATCACAGTGACAAGGTAAAAGATCTGCTTTTGATCTCTTCTTCTCTTTCGATTCGAGTGAAGATGATCTGTTGAAAATGTTGATCGCTCTGTGTTTGTTTCAGATCTTCTTGGTTGATTCAGAACCCATGATAACAAGAGCTGAAGAAGATATGATCGAACATAACAACAACAACATGATTTATGCTGATTGTGGCACAAGCAATCATAAGGTAAGTAGACCTATAAACCCTAATTTCAGTCCGATTTGGGGGAATTCGAGACTGATCTGATCTAATCCTAACCGATACGCCTAACAAATTGAAGTTTGGGTTTTATTAAACCGGTGTTAAACACAAAACCAAACTGAATCAATTTAATTAGGAAATTAAATCAAACCAAACCGGTTCTCTGATAACGATAATTAGAAAACCGTTTTTTTTTTCTTTCGCTTCTTTAAATTCATTCTCTGTTTTTCGCTCCTTTTGTTTGGATTCTTACTCTCAATTGCAAAAGTTCTTTGCTTCTGTCACATTTCAGTTGAGATTTCTAGGGTTTCTCGTCAAGTTTTGCAAATTTCTCTGGAGAGGTCGGAGAAGAGAGAAAGCCACGTTGCTTGAAACCCAAGTTTCGTCTAAAGGATGTCACAAGAAGTTTCAGAAGCTATGAGTTTACTCGATGGCCTTTCTTCGGAAGATCATTCAATACAGCTTGAATCCGCCACCAAGATCACCAGGCTTCTATCAGATGGTATATAAAACTTCCTCTGTTTACTTTCTTTACCTTTCTTGATTTCAATCTGAAAGATTCGTCTTTTATCATTAAACTCGAATGTTTCTTTAAATTTTGTGCTCTTGTGATCTGTCCAGCAATGCAAGGAAACAGGCCTCTTAATACCGAAGTTGTAGCTCGTTTCGTTTACCTTCTTCGCAATGACAAGCGCCCTTTGCTTCAAGTTAGAAGAAAAAAAGAACCCCCATCAAATTGATATTTACGATTATCAGTGTAATCTTTGATTCCAATATATTCAATGATCTTTCCTAGTGTGAAGCAGCTCGCGGTCTAACAATCATTGCTGCTTATAAACCGGATGTGGTAGTTGATCACGATGCTGGTCTAATCTTAGTCACGCTTCTTGCTTCCTCTAGAGATTATGTCCGTGAGCAGGTAAGCACTGTACTTATGCAGTAGATATGTATGAATGCTTTGTCACAGATATGAGTTTTGACATTATTCTTGCAGGCTTTATGGGCACTGGGTAATCTTGCTTATCATCCAATACACCATGACTATGTTCTTGGATGTGAGGTATTGAAGCCACTGCTGAGTCAGCTGTACAAGGATACTAACTTGTCGATGCTCAGAATTGCCACTCGGACTTTGTCTAACTTGTGTCATGGCATGCCTCCGCCTACCTTTGACGAGGTCTTCTTACTTCTCTTTCTCTCTGTTTCCTCTGTTTGTATACGTCCAATACTTTCAACATATGAAGCATTGATTAACAGGTGAAACCTGCACTTGAAATACATCTTAATTCAAGTGATGAAGAAGTCTTGAGATATGTTTGCTGCGCAATTGTGCATCTGTGTGATGGTTCAGAAGATGTAATCCAAAGTGTGATTGAAGCTGGTTTTGTCCCAAAACTAGTTGAAGTTCTCCGGTTAGTATCTCAGAATCCTTTATTGTGACATGTTTGGATACTGAAGGCTGACAATTTTTTCTTTTGCAGACACCCTTCGCCAGTTGTACTTGCTCCTGTACTTCATACCATTGGGACTATAGTTACTGCAAATAATCACCAGATCCAAGTATGTAATTCATATTCCACTTATGTTGTCCACCTTGTGGAGTTATCACAATTTCTCTAGAATGTTTAGTAGAGAGGATGCAGTGCTTGCTTTGTTATATGTTCCTTGTTTACATTGTTACGAATAGATTTTGTAATCAAACAACAAAGTGCTTAGGCTCTGAATAAACCTCTTTGAACATATTCTTTAGGTTGTGATCAATTGTGGTGTTTTACCCATTCTTGCCGACCTGTTTACTCGAGACTATGAGATACACATAAAGGTAAACACTTTCTGGACAATTTCAAGGATCACTGCAGGCTTTACAGAACAACTTCAGGTGAGAAGCTTTTGTTGCAGAACATATACAAATTTAACCCTTCTGTTGCTATTACTAATTGTGTTCTATTTGTCTTTTTTGCACTGATGAAAACAGTCAGTAATTGATGCAAATTTGATTCCAACGTTGGTCAATCTGGCTCAACATGCTGAATTTGACATAAAGAAACAAGCTGTATGGGCAATATCAAATGCAACCTCAGGTGGTTCTCATGATCAAATCAAGTATGTTCTTGTCTTCTCTCTCTTTTTTTACTTTGCATTGCTTTTTATTGATCATTAAGTCACAATCTCCTTTGGTATGATTCAGATACTTAGTGAAGCAGGGTTGCGTAAAACCTTTATGTGATCTCGTGGTATGTTCAGATGTAATGATCAACTCAGTGTGTCTGGATGGTTTGGAAAACATATTGAAGGCCGGAGAGGCGGAAAAGAACACAGGAGAGGTGAACTGTTATCTCCAACTGGTTGATGCCGCGGAAGGGGTGGAAAAGATTGAGAACCTGCAGAAACACGAAAGCGATGAGATCTACAAGAAGGCTTTGAAGATTCTGGAGACATACTGGCTTGTAGAGGAGACACAACAACAACCTCCAAGGTGATTGATGTGGTTTTGCAGTTGTGAGAGAACCAAGTTCCAGTTCCTGTTGGAGTCAACTTCAGTTCCTGTTGGAGTCAACTTTTGTTCATCTTTATATTGAGTAAACTTGTTGAAATTGAGTACATGATTCGGTTTCAAGATTGTACTGGACCAGATACAGTGATCAAATACATGACTGATGGTATGCTTCTTAGGGAGATTCTGATAGATGAAAACCTCTTTCAATACTCTGTAATCATGCTTGACGAAGCTCACGAGCGGACAATCCACACTGATGAAACGTAGGCTTGACCTTCATCTGATTGTCACATCTGCCACATTGGATGCAGAGAAGTTCTCTAAGTATTTCTTCAACTGCAACATTTTTACCATTCCTAGAAGAACCTTTCCTGTTGAGATACTGTATACCAAACAGCCAGAAACAGATTACTTGGATGCAGCTTTGATCACAGTCCTTCAGATTCACTTGAGGGTGGCATTCTCGTCTTTTGATGGGGCAGGAAGAGATCGATTCTGCATGCCAGTCTCTGTGCGAGAGAATGAAAGGACGTTCCTGAACTAAGAGATGGATCCGTTAAGGCGATTATCATTGAAACAGCTGCAAAGAAATAGATTGAAAATGATTTAAAGTCTGATAACAACAGATTCTTGCTTACATTCCTTTTAGGTTTACAAGTTCCCCTAGTTCCTTAGGGATAGTTGCAGATAATTTATTGGCTTCAAGAACTCTGTAATCATTCAAATAAACAAAACAACTTAGCTTTATATGTAATCACGTAAGATAAACAAAGAAAACGGTTGAATCATACAAGAAAATGCGGTTTCCAGATAAGCGATTTGCGCAAACAGAGCTACAGTGAAACATTCAAACATGAGATCAAAGACTTACATAGATTTTACGGTAATTACGGCATAAGTCACTGCAAAAACAAGCAAAAAGGCTCCCTCTTTTTTATAATTTCTTTTTGTCAACTAGAACAGTGAAAACAGAGGAAACAGAACACAAAGAACCATCCTGTGGTTTTTAGCTTGTAAGCTGCAGAGATAAAAGCTTTGGCTTCATTGTTCATAGAGTATACATTGTTCCTGTTTCTTTTTTTTTTGAAGTTTTATGTCGTCTAATTGATGCTGTGTTTATTTTTTTAGTAAAAAAGTTACTTAAAATCTCCATGGTGATTATAGAACGAAGAAGGGTTTTGTTAGAATCATATACATGGACCAGATAGATGTAAGTATGTGGTTCAATGGGAGACAAATAAGTCCTTTTCTTTCTTCTAAATCAATTATAAACCTGAAAATGAATATCCTAAACCAATACGTCCTCCAAAAAAGCACAAGATCTTACATTTTTCTACATTAAAATATTGGATATATATGTCTTTAATATTAAATTTAAACCTATTTCGAGTATTGTCACTTTGACCAGGAAATTGTTTAGTCAACGTTACACTATCGTATTTGGAACTATGCAGAATAAATAATATATATGGTCTGAATCTGAATCCTATCTACATGGTTTAGTTCCCTACCACTCTCATTGTTTGTTTCTTTCTCTTTATAGTTTACAATCATTCTATCATTGGTATCTCAATTTTGCACTATCTTCCACTTGATCATCTACTTAGTGACATAATCATATGTATAACCAATGCATATAGATCTAATATTGAAAAATTACCGAGTGTTTTTTTTACTTTATAGATTAACCAAGTTTTCAATGTGCAAGTCTTACAGGGACAATTTGTATGTAAAGGGATGTGAGATTTCTAAAACCTTTTTTTTAGAAATTTTTTGATACAAAAAGAATTATGGAAAATTGGAAACGGCTACGATCAAATACATGTGAATCATCATCATTGACCACTCGAAGAAACCGTACTCTTTGCCGTATCTGATTACACAATGGTCAAAGTGGCGCCATTTTTTCTTTTCACCAAATCATAATACACCTTTTTCTCAAAAAAAAATCCATGTTTTGGCGGGTGGCTTCTTCTGATAATAGAGAGTGAATAAAAGGGCATTTTCGTCATTTAAGAACCAAAATCCTAGGGTTTAATTCCGAACCAATTTATAATCGTGTTTGGTTTTATTGATCATTGTGTCTGTCGGTTCGATTCTTTCAAAAATCAAAACCTCTCTCTCTCTGTGACACTCTTCTTCACTCTCTTCTCTGCATGTTTTTGCGAAGAAACGTGATCTTCTCAAAACCCTAGTAACCAGATTGATTCTGATACTCTCCTTGATCTCTGTTTCCAAACCCTAGCTTTCCCGATTGCGGCGCCGACTCTGATCAAATCCTTAAATATATCCATTTCAATTGACGATCTCGGAAGTAAAGAATGCTAGATCACAGTGAGAAGGTAAAATGATCTGCTTCTGATCTCTTCTTCTATTTAGATTCTGATGATGATGATGATCTGATAATAAACTGATCGCTCTGTGTTTTCAGGTTTTGGTTGATTCAGAAACCATGAAAACAAGAGCTCAAGATAAGAAGACTTGTGCTGATTGTGGTACAAGCAAAACCCCTCTTTGGCGTGGTGGTCCTGCTGGTCCTAAGGTACAGACACAAACCCTAGTTTTACTCTGATTTTGGAGGAAAAATCGAGATTGATCATTTGATCTTGTCTCTGATCTCTGATTCTGATCTGATAAGTTTTGTTTTTTGTTCTGTGTAGTCGTTGTGTAACGCGTGTGGGATCAGAAACAGGAAGAAGAGAAGAGGAACAGAGGATAATAAGAAATTAAAGAAATCAAGTTCAGGCGGCGGAAACCCTAAATTGGGTGAATCGTTAAAACAGAGGTTGATGGATTTTGGGATAACGAAGAGATCAACGGTGGAGAAGCAACGACGGAAGCTTGGTGAAGAAGAACAAGCCGCTGTTTTACTCATGGCTCTTTCTTATGGCTCTGTTTACGCTTAGTGGGTTTTTTTTCTGGATCTCACCATGGTTAGGGTTTTCTTGAATTTGGAGAGCAATGATGATGATGATGATGATGACTAACAAAATGAAATGTGAAAATTTTCACTTTTTTTGTTAGAAATTGTTTGGTTTTTTTGTGTTTTTTTTTTACTTTAAAAAATTTTGGGTATCTCGATGATGTGATTTGGTGGTAATCAAAAAAAGTTTTGGAAATTGTAGGAAGATGAACGAAGAAAAACATGTTCGGTGGTAGTTTATTAGTAGTTTTTTATTTATTTCTATAATATTATTTTATTTTTTAAATAATTGTTCTGTGTTGAGATTTTGTCTTTATTAGGACAGGAATGGGACTTGCCTATCTGTTAAGCACACAATCTTGTCAAGTCAAAAATAGTCATATAATTTATATTAAAATTTAAAATGAAAAATGGTTCAAAATTTCGTCAAATTTTAATGTTTTCTTCAGTGAATTTTAGTCCGATTCAAACCGTCTAGTCCGTTAACTTGCGATATGGATTTTTTCGGTTTGGATTTATTGCTAATATCAGGTAATTACAAAACCGAAGAAATCCGCAAAAACACGTTATTAACCCGTAATTTGGTAACCGATTGAACCGGCCGGATATGAGTTCAAAAAAAAAACATTTGATTTTAAAATAAAAATAGAATTTTAGATTTTTAGTGTATTCACAATTTACTATTCAGTTATATTTATAATTTTTTCAGTTATTTGTATTCACTATCCTATTATCTTAATAGTTTTTACGGTTTAAATTAGATTTAAAAAATTTAATCACTTTATTATTATTGTTAGACTTTATTTTTTGTTAAATATGGTGTGCTTATTTTTATATTTATATTTATACAACTATATAATTTCTATAAATATTAAATACATCAAATAAATTTTAATCAATTGATCCATAATCGAATCCGGTTGATCTAATGACTTAATAACACAGAAAATAGTCCAGTTTACCGTCTAGCCCGGATTTTAAAACATTGGTTTTATTTTTCTGTTAATGTCAAATTATGCTACCGTGGTAGTTACGATTGCGGATAAGATACCTCATGGGAAACAAAGTTTTAGGTTTGATAGGAGATGGATTGGAAAAGAAGGGTTATTAGAAGCAATTTCAAATGGTTGGAATTTAGATCCTGGTTTGCGAGATGGACAATTTGTTGAGAAATTGACTAATTGTAGGCGAGCTATATCTCAATGGCGGAAAGAGTTAACTCCGTATGGAAGGAAAACAATAGAGGAACTGAAATCTGATTTAGCGGTAGCACAGAGAGATGATACGAGGACACGAGAGGAGATTACAGATTTAACAATGAGGTTGAAAGAAGCTTACCGAGATGAAGAACAATATTGGTACCAAAAAAGTAGAACTCTATGGATGAATTTAGGGGATAATAATTCGAAATACTTTCATGCTCTCACAAAACAGAGACGTGCGAGGAATCGAATCAACGGGCTACATGATGAAAATGGGACATGGTCGGTAGAGGACAAAGATATTCAGAACATAGCGGTCTCTTACTTAAAGAATTTGTTTACAACAACTAATCCTCAGGCTTTTGAGGAGTCATTAGCAGAGGTTAAATTGAGGATAACGGACCAGACGAATGATTTTTTAATTGCACCTACGACCGAATGTGAGGTGCGAGCGGCTTTATTTATAATGCACCCAGAGAAAGGGCCAGGACCAGATGGCATGACAGCATTGTTTTTCCAGAAAGCTTGGGTTACTATTAAAACGGATCTGTCAATTATGGTTAATTCTTTTTTACAAGAGAGAGTTTTTGATAAGCGGTTAAATATGACTAATATATGTCTTATACCAAAAACAGAGAGACCGACTCGGATGACGGAATTACGACCTATTAGTCTTTGTAATGTTGGATATAAAGTAATTTCAAAAATACTTTGTCAAAGACTGATGAAGGTTCTACCAAACCTTATTTCGGAAACCCAATCTGCTTTTGTAGAAGGGCGACTGATCTCGGTCAATATTCTTATAGCGCAGGAGATGTTTCATTGGTTAAGAACAAATCCGTCATGTAAAGAGAAATTTATGGTGATTAAAACGGATATGAGTAAGGCATATGACAGAGTCGAATGGAAGTTTATAGAAGAATTATTAAGGAAGATGGGTTTCTGTGAAAAGTGGATTTCGTGGATGATGTGGTGTATTACAACAGTCCAATATAGAGTTCTCCTTAATGGTCAACCTAGAGGTCTAATAATTCCAGAAAGGGGATTAAGGCAAGGAGATCTTTTATCTCCATATTTGTTTATTCTTTGTACGGAGGTACTTATAGCAAATATTCAGAAAGCAGAACAGGAAAAGTTGATTACCGGTATTAAGGTATCAACAGCTAGTCCTTATGTATCACATCTTTTATTTGCGGATGATAGTCTATTCTTTTGCAAAGCAAATATAGATCAATGCAGGGTAATTTTGGGGAACCTACAGCAATATGAAGCGGTTTCGGGGCAGCAAATTAATTTTTCAAAATTATCAATTCAGTTTGGTCATAAGGTGGATGACTCTATTCAGGCGGAAATAAAATCAGTTTTGCTTATTAATAACCTTGGTGGTATGGGCACTTACCTTGGTTTACCGGAAAGTCTAGGTGGATCAAAGACCAAGATTTTCTCTTTTGTTAGGGAGAGATTACAGACTAGAATAAATGGATGGTCGGCAAAATTTTTATCGAAAGGCGGGAAAGAAGTAATGATCAAATCTGTAGTTGCGGCACTGCCAACTTATGTTATGTCTTGCTTTAGACTACCAAAAATGATTACTTCCAAACTTACAAGTGCGGTAGCTAAATTCTGGTGGAGTTCAAATGGTGAATCGAGAGGAATGCACTAGGTGGCTTGGAACAAGTTATGTAGTAGTAAATCAGACGGTGGCTTGGGATTTCAGAGTGTAGATGATTTTAATTCTGCCTTATTAGCGAAACAATTATGGCGCTTGATTACGACTCCCGATTCACTCTTTGCAAAGGTTTTCAAATGACGGTATTTTCGGAAATCCAGTCCTCTGGATACAATAAAATCTTACTCTCCTTCCTATGGTTGGAGAAGTATTATGTCAGGGACTGATAAATTTTCAGGAACAGGGTGGTTCTGCACATCATCAAATGGAGAGACACCAACCATGGGAGCAGCCAATATCCGAAGAAGTCTCTCACCTCTACATACCGAAGTGGAAGCTCTTCTCTGGACGATGAAGTGTATGATTGGAGCCGATAACCAAGATGTAGCCTTTTATACAGACTGTTCAGATCTGGTGAAGATGGTGTCTTTCCCAACCGAATGGCCGGCTTTCTCAGTATATTTGGAAGATTTCAAGAGCGACAAGGAAGAATTTTCAAGCTTTTCTTTATCTTTAATTCCTCGCAGTGCAAATGTAAAAGCGGATAATTTGGCACGAAAAATTCGTACCGAACCGCATCATATCACTTATGTAAACAACATTCCTTAGGAATGGTTCTTTTAAATTTTAATTAATAGCTGTTGACAAAAAAAAATACTACCAGATTTTAGGTTTTATTCCGTCATCAATCGTGGTATTTAAATGTGGTAATTTAACAGTGGAATTATCCTTTTTTTCATTAGTTCCGTGGGTATCAAACAATTCTAGAAGTATGGAAAAATCATTTTTGTAACACATATTAATGATAATAACATTATGATGCTGTCAACATTAAAACCATATCATTAATAATATGTCCTGTACAGGTAACGCAGATCTTGGTCTCTCTAGCCGCATGAAAATGTTTTTCTTTTTTCTTTAAATCAAGTCCAATCGCCATTTATACCAATATCACTAAACCAGATTTTTTTTATATCTTAAAATTATCAATTATTTGATCATTAACAAAACATAGACGAATCTTTTGAAACAGAGACAACCTGCATCAACTTACATTCCTCTATCACAGCAAGTAAAATCTAAAACACATATGTACTTACTAAAAAAGAAAAAAAAAACAGAGGATTGAAGTTGGTTTTGCATGATAAGGAATATTCAAGAACTATGCTGAAATGGTTTTAAGACACCTTACTTTTCGCAGAGGCAATGAAGGCATCGACAAGGCGGAGCCATGCTCGACGCCAAGAACAATTGACGCACATAAGAACAAGAATGCCTATCAGTGCAGTCACATAAGTTGCAGCCGTACTCCAATAGAAGACCAACATGTCAATAGCAGCTTCAACATCATCTTCTTCTCCTCTATTATCTGTTTCCTCTGAGTTCTTCTTAGCTTCACAGCTTCTATCGGTTGGCGATCCACATAGAAGAGGATTTCCCAAGTAGCTGTTCTCATCAAAGGTGTTAAATTGCCTTCCTTGGGGAATGATGCCTGATAAATTGTTGTAAGAGATGTTGAATACAACAAGAGAAGTGAGGTTGGTTAATTGGTGAGAAATGCTTCCTTGTAACATGTTATAAGAAAGATCAAGGCTCTCTATGTCCTCCAGTTTGGAGAAGCTATCCGGTATATGACTCGACAAGAAATTGCGAGACAGATTCAAAGCTCTAAGCTTGGAGAGCTCTCCAAGCTCTGCTGGGATAACACCACTTAATTCATTGCTTGACAGATCCAAGCCATACATGTAATCAAGTGTTCCTTCAGTCAACTCAAATGCTCCAGTATAAGAATCATACCTGTGCTTTGCTGCAAATTGGATTTCAATTTTCAGATGAGTTATGTAGTCTAACGTGAAATCCTCAACCCCAAATGTGGTTTTGTAGAATCCCAAGTAAAAGTTCTCTAAAGAGTAAACTGAACCAAAGTAGTCAAGTTTATCATCGTTACCTCCCAGTCCAAATGATAAATTATTGAAGCATGAAGGTATGGAGCCATTGAGCTTGTTATTTGAAAGATCTAAAAGTCTGATGTTACTCAATTCACACAGAGTCCTTGGAATATATCCCGATAAGTTGTTACCTCTCAACAAAAGAATACTCATATCTTCGGTATTTACAAACTGCGGGATACTCCCAGAGAGTTTATTGTTCCGCAAATCAAGTATTTGGACACCTCCCAACAATGTGTCCGGGATTGGCCCTGTGAAGTTGTTGTTGTGTAGGAAAAATCTTGGCCAAAGTATACTACCAACAAGTGATGGTAAGGCTCCAGATAATAGGTTTGCAGAGAGGTCTAGAAAATAAAGATGTTCAGTGACCAGAAGCGAAGGTGGTATTGCACCTTCTAAGAAATTGTTGGACATGTCAAGGACTAACAAATTAACCAAGTTGAGCAAACCAACACCGATCTTCCCTGTAAATAAGTTGTTATCGATTCTTAGGACGGACAATGAAGTGAAGTTTGTACGTCTTGAAAGAAAATGGCCGCTAAATTTGTTGTGGGAGAGCTGCAGGATTCTTAATGAAAAACACCCTGTGACAAAGCTTCTAGGTAGCTCCCCAGATAAATTATTATAAGCCAGGTTCAAGAATGAAATGTTCTTCATTTCACCCATAGACAATGGGAAATTCCCTTGGAACCCATTATTGGAGCCATTCAAATGTACTAGACTCGGAAGCACACGACCAATATTATCAGGGAACAGTCCACCAATATCATTTTCTGAAAAATCCAAAACCTGCAAATTGTGAACTGTTGTAGGCATCTGAAAGATAGTGAATGAATTATTCTTCAACTGTAAGACTTCAAGTTCTGGATTATTCTCCAACAGCCATGCAGGACTGATTCCAGATAATCTATTGTCAGATAGATCAACTAGACGCAAGTTCTTCTGGTACATGAGAAAGTTGGGGATTTTCTCCAAGCTGCAAAGTCGTAGTACAACAACACTTAGTTGGAATTTCGGCTGCCAATTATTTTCTGTCTCTACTTGTAGCATAGCAGATGTTGATGACATTATGAGCACCTTGAGTTTTGTGAGGTTGGCAAGTGGACTGAGCGAGAAAAAGCTTTAAAAGCTATTATCTGACAATGATAGATATTCGAGGGACTCGAGGCTACTGAAATTGGGTGGTATATTTCCACTTAATTGGTTTGATGAGAGGTCAAGAAACCGTAGCTTGTTCAAGCTACCGAAACACAGAGGGAGCTGACCAACAAAATAATTTTCTCTGAGATCAAGCTCCCGCAAATTCTTCATTTCACAAAACACTGCGGAAAAGATAGTTTGGAAAACAACAAGATGATGAGAATAATAAGAGTAGTATTCCTCTCGAGAATTAGACACTTTTCAGACGTAAAAGTTATAATGTCCATATTGATAATCTCGGAGTTGAAGCAAAGACAGATCACCTTCTATTGGTATAGGCCCGTGGAAATTATTATAACCAAGACTCAGGACTTCCAAGTTAGTCAAATTCCTTAATCCTAAAATAAAGTAAAGACATAAAGGATATACCTTGAAAAATAAAAAAAAGGGATTCACATCCATTCTTAATAAAATAAAATGAAGTTAAAACTTGAGCAAACTTGCCTTGCCATTCCATTGAACTATAAAGTACATTAGAACTTAGATCTAGAGCTTTCAGCTTCTTTAAGTAAGGAAACTCTGCCACAAAACAAAGAAACAAAAAGCAAAGACACCAACAATTAATATGGACATGATGTTCTTAAAGATGGCATAAACTAATTTCAGTAACTATGCATTTTTCTATGGACAGTCACTATTGACGAAATGATACCTCTTACAGGTATGGAGCCGTCAATTCTGTTTCCACTCAGATCCAGCAGTTCCAAGTTTGTCAAGTTTTTAAGTTCTGAAAGGGAGTCCAAGAGAATAATAGAATGATAAGAACTAAAATAAAGCGACAGCAAAATTGTAGCGCTTACTATATACAAATCAATCTAACCAAATGATACATCAACAATAAGTAAGTGTACTAGAAGGAGAAACATACCTTTAGCGGGAAAAGGGACATACATATAGTTATTCCGAAGAGAAAGAGTTGTAAGTGATGTAGCAGCATTAAGAAACGGAAAGATGCTATTGTTGAATTGATTTGAAGAGAAATTCAGAATCTGCAGGTTTCTTAATCTCCTTAGGCTTTTATAACCTGCAAAATAAAATCTTGTTAACATTTAACTAATTATACGAAAACTCTAATAAATATGATAAGTTCCATTACAATTTGAGTCTAATCTACATGCCAATGAAGATTTGAAACATGAGTGATGGTTGAGTGTAATTTTGTGCTACATGGCATAGTTTTAAACGGTATCAACTTTCACAAATCTATAAATTCAAACCTTTTACTGCAGGGGAAAATGTTTCCAAATAGAGACCATAATAGGTAAGAAAGAGACATTGGGACAAGCATGATGATATATACCTTCCACATCATCAACCAATCCGTTGAATCTGGGCTTGGATAAGTCCAGAATTCGAACCTCTTCAAAGGGATGCAGCAAAGAAAGATTTAGATGAGCACTCTTTGAAAAGGTAATCGGTGTATAAAGGGAAAGCCCTATAACACGCCTGCTTGTATGATTGCACTTAATTTTCTCCCACTGACAGCAATCTCTCTTTGTGTCATTAGTCCAAGTAGGGAGAACATTTTCGAGCTCCCATCCTCGGCTTCTTGAGATCACGAATTTCTTGAGTTCCAACAAAGCTTTCCTTTCTTTCTCAATACAGCTTCTGAATCCATGTAGCTGTCCCAATAGTAACATCACCAATATCAGGTTTTGACCCAAGAACACTTTCCCTTCCATTGGTTTGAATAAAAAAAAAATTGAGCAAGTTTGATGTTGTCCAAATATATATCCATGTTTACAAGCACTAAAAACTACTGGTTGACATTGAATAAAAGCACCTACGGTTTCCTCATCCCTAAGAATAAAAGCTCAGTCATAATTAGAGTTAATTAGTATGATTCAAATACAAGCAAACAATTAACAATGAAATCATTTCAGAAGAAAGATGTAACCTTTAAGTTGTGCCAAACAAACGGCCAAAAACACTCCAACGGTAACTGTGAGGTGATTAACCACCAAGTAAGTACTAAACGCTGTCGTTTCACGCGAATTTAATTCAGCGAAATTCCTAGATTACCATCTCCATGAGAGTCATTTCTGCATGATAGAGAAGCTCCTACTGAAGCAAGAATACAAATTGGGGAATGATTGATTCGCCGCCCCAGTACCGTAAAACCAAAATCAGGTCAATGGACAAATTAGGTGAACGGAAAAGAACCCATCGAATCGGAGAAGATTCAAGAATAAGGAGACGACAAAAGGGAATCCGATTGATATAGAAGATGGCCATGGATCTTGCAAGTAAGCTTCTGAAAATTTCAAACTCTTTTTGTTAATTCCGGTGAGTGGTGTTTCTCATAGGGTTATTGGGCTTTTTTGTTCTTGGGCCATAAAAAAGCCGGCCCAATAAAATAGAAGAAATGCTCTCTATATATCGAATTCCATTCATGCACATGTACACAACGACTCCTAACATGCCACGCCACTTACCAGTACACCACACCACACGACTAGTCCAACATATTCTACAAAACATGGAGCTTCAACAATTTTGATGATAACGTGTTATCATTTTCTTACAATGGTGTGCACGGTCTTATATACGGATGGATATATATTCGTCAATATACGAATGAAAAAAAAAAAAATACGAATGGATATTCAAATTTACTCCTTGATAAAAGAAAATTTCGACAAATATATAAGTCATGTCTATCGTATATTTGTCCTGCGATGGTATTTGATTCAATTTGTATTAAACCCCAAACCCTCCATGTCAATATGATCTCTTACACGGTTATAAATGGAGCGAACGCTCGGTGAGTAAATGTACCAGATTATTATACCGAAATACTAGTATTTTGGTAGGTGCAGAGAATGTGGTAGAGGTTGGTGGCCCTGTAACACTCTATTAAAGACACGTGCAATCCAGCTAATATAATTTGAATTTCTTCTTCTTCTTCCCAAACTGCATTAAATCTTTTATTTTTTTCATAACAAATTTAGAAGATTGATTTGCATGGCCAAATGAGTAACTCGTGACCTTTAAGGCTGCGACGTCTTGGCGGTTCAACGCAACACGATTGTTCGGACAAATTTGATCTTTGGGCACATGTGAATCATGGGTTTATTTGAAATATCTTCGGTGTCATTTTGCATTTTTGTCGTCTTTTTTTTTTTATAAAAAATCTCTTTTATTTGGGATGCTTTATACCGGACCGAGGTGTGATATTAGCGACAGTGTATATTATGAAAGATCCTTCTACGTATTAAATAGTTGTATTTATTTAGACTCCTCTGTTCAGTGTTTTCACTATAAGAGATTAATTGTCATACTATATATAAATTCGGTGTTTTAATTGCAATAATATGCACTTGAATATATATGTCAAACAAAGAAAGTCGTAGTGCTTTTCCGTTTTATTTAATTATGTATTCATTACAGGCTGAAAATATGATCGAATGAGTTATGAAAGACATGAAAATATGATCGAATCATCACTCTCTTTCGAAAAGCACACATGATTTCGTGAATCCAATAAATGAGCAGCAACTAAAAAAGAAGAACATTAACTTAGGAGTTTAAATGTACTATTATATAAGAATCCTAATCTCATTCGTGCGTCCTTCTCAACTCTTCATTAGCGCTATTCATTGGCACAATAATAAAAAAAATAGTTTTTATGATGATAAGAAACATTAGCATAAATTGTTTGAATTAATACGTTTCTGTTTGATTAAGCTATTAAATAGATAAAAACGCAAGACCAAATCCCAAGGTTTTATCTTCACTTGAACCGTGTATAATTTATAACCAACCTTTAATTTGTTCCTCAACAATCAAATGAAATATAAAAGTTGTCTTTAAACGAATTAGTAGAAATGGTGAATTGCTATTTTGAATCTAATTAAGCCAGAGTTCAATTCTCGCCAAACGCATCTTCTCTTAGCCACTGCAAAATTCACATACTTTTGCAAACTTTAGAGATTAGTTTAGTATTTTGTATGAATTTCCAGTTTTTTTTTCCTGTTAATATGAAAATGTTTCAGCATTAACAATTGATTTAAGTCACAAAAGCAAATAAAAATCCACCTTTTAAAAAAAGCAGAGTAACTTTAATCATGAGATCACCATAAGCATGGTGTGACCATCTTCAATCGCCTGGTAAGTTTGATTATAAACTAAGCTTGCTCAGATTTTGTAATTGGTACATTTTAGTTAAGGTACCTAAAAGATTAAGAAAAATTGGAAACTTTTTAGCTAAAGCAGTCGTTTTAGCGGTATGATTTTACTTGAATTATAATATTTTTTATAAAACGAGTTTTTATTGGAATGCAAAAAAAAATTTCTCAACACCTATCCATTAGGTTTCGTGACTTACTTTCTCTTCCACAATGTTCATATCTTTTGCTATGAAAAAATAACATCTCAATACGGGACATAACATCCGACCATGCATGTGGTATGTTCCATGTTTTTTCACTGCTGATAAAAAGTTTGCAAGTTGGATTTACTGGAAGACATGAACTTAGGCCCGAATGGCAATCATGCAATAACTATTTAGGTACAAAAAAAAAAAAAATAAAGCTATTTAGGTGTTAGAACGATGTAATTGATAAGTTGTGTACTTGCTTAAACTTGTGAATGATAAGTGTTATCTGGGAACAGTATAACTACCACATATGTTTGAGAGTCAAAGTCACTTAAAAAAAGTATATATCAAACATAATAATCAATTTGATATGAAATAAATAAAAACGTAACACAATTCTACGCCATCATGACGATCCAATAATTCAAATGCTTCGCACAAGATTTAGAGTAATGCCGTTTTCATATATACTTTTTTTGTTAATGAAATTTCTGAAAAAAAATGAAATGAACTTTGTTATATAAAAAAAAATCTCACAAGAATTGATGCTAAGAGGAGTGATATTCTACTTGCCTATGCTCTGGACTGGATAAAACTGATCATATTTGTTAAACCTAGATTTTAATATTTACTTATTGTAATTGATACACAGTAAAATTATGGGCGTGACTTTGAACAAATATCATGTTTACATTTGAAGTCACAACGCTAATTAGTAGAGCTTTTGTTTTTGGCCGGCAAAAAGCTTATTAGTAGAGCTTTGAACTTTTTTATTTTTGTATATATGAAGAAATGTTTTTGTTTTTGTTTTTGTTTTTGTTTTCTCTATAAACACACACACACAGAGAGAAAAAACTCCTTCAAATCTTAAGCACTTTTGAGTTTTGAATTTAGAGCTACTCACAGAAATTTCTCATAATTTTATTTTCGAAACCAGAAAAGTTTGAAGAAAAAACGTCAAGTTGGGACTTCCGTCATCTTCACGTCTACTCTTCGAAAGCTGCCACGTCATAACCACAACTCCAATAAGATATGTCCACGTGTGAAAGCTTGCAAAAGAGTCAAGCCCCACTATAATGACTTTTGTTCTCTTTTATTTCCCAACCCTACTTGGCTCGTCGACGCAGCCGCCACGAGATCGCCACGGGACAAGGGGTATAAATGTAATTCAATAACTTGGGGGAGTACGTGACGCATTTGCCCCCGACATCCGCGTATTTCCGGTGCTTTATTTATATTACAAGACCTTCGGTTAAAAAGGTTAACGTGTCCGCGTCAACTTTTTCTTTCATCCACTATTCATTTCTTTTCTAAAACACTTTTTTTTCCCTGATTTCTAAAACAAATTACTTATAAATATCTTCTAAGTCGACAAACAAAACAATGATGTCTATTACGAATAATTTTTACATGCATCACAAATATTACACATACAATAAAAATCTTAATCATTCTAAAATTTCCAATAAATTGATCTCTACTAATTTGCATAATTGGTAAATAATAATTTTTAAAAATAACTATTTTGAGTTCTAAATAATTTCGGACATAAAAAAAAAAAAAAGTTTTGCATAATTCGTACTGATTAGAAACGAACCAGAATTTAGTAAAACACTCCACCGAACTTTCACTAATTATTTCTTTATTAAAGACCTTTTTATAATGAAAATAATTATTTATAGAAGCCATCGATAAAAAGAAGAACACTCCTCTGAACGTGCTTCTTCTTCTTCTTCTTTCCCACTCCTACAGTCTTTCTCCCTCCTCTCTCGCTCTCTCATCTTCTTTCTCTGTATATTTTACACAAAACTAAGTTTCTAAATCCAATTTCTGACAATGGAAACAAACCATTTATACACTTTTTCTACACTTGTTGTTATACTGCTAATGTCAGTGACACCGACAGTGATACCGACTGTAACATCTAAAGACGAGGTTGTTTCTTGTACAATGTGTTCTTCATGCGACAATCCATGTAGTCCCGTCCAATCTTCTCCACCGCCGCCTTCTCCTCCACCACCGTCAACACCCACAACCGCATGTCCTCCCCCTCCTTCTCCTCCAAGATCCGGCGGCAGTAGCGGTGGCGGTAGCTCTTACTATTACCCTCCTCCTTCTCAGTCCGGTGGAGGCAGCAAATACCCTCCACCTTACGGTGGCGGTGGTCAAGGTTATTACTATCCTCCGCCGTATTCAGGAAACTATCCTACGCCGCCTCCGCCGAATCCGATCGTCCCTTATTTCCCGTTTTACTATCATACTCCACCACCAGGTTCTGGTTCAGATCGGTTTATGAGTTCTTGTTCTGTTATTTTTACTTTTTTTGCTGTCTTTCTCTGTTTAGTGTGACGGAAAAATAGTCGGAAATTCGCCGGAAATTTACCAAGAAAAAAATCGAAATAATGTGGCAGATCGGTAGATCTATAAATGTTTAGATATCTTTGATCATGGAAACAAGATGATGTTGGATCAAATCAATATCTTTTACTTTCTTCGATCTGTTTTAACTTTTTCTTTTGTTGTTGACAATTTGTATTTAATTGATCTTGACAATTAACATACTTAATTACTCGTTATTCAGATTTCAGAAATAAAGAATTGTTACTTTCTATGTGCTCTTTTAGTGGTTTACACTCAATTAGTTCAATTTAACACTATTTTGTCGGTTGGGTTTTCTTTACGCTGAAAATACAATTTATTTTCTCATTATTCGTTAATTAACTAATTCTGTCATGTTTCACGACTAATGTGGTCAAACAATACAGTAATTATTTAGTAATGTAATCTATTAAACAGCTAAATTCACGGCTACTAGTATCTTTTGAAATTTGAATCATTGTATTATTTTATAATTCACATGTGATTGTCGTTAAATCAGAATATATTATTTCAATTATTATGAACTTTACACCGTTGGAAAATTTTAAATACACATGCAAGACAATTTTATGGCCAGCTTTGCTCCAACACATATCTTTCTGTATTCCTAAGAGGCTAAATTATCGATTTAAAAAAATATTCGCCTTTGTTTAGTTGAGAAGGTGGGAATTTATAAATACGTGATCTTCATTGTTGACCTTAAGATAAGCCGTAAAAACGTAGAGAGCATTAAAACACGAATAACCAAAATAAAGTTAGTTTATTATTTTACCAAAAAAAAGAAGATAGTTTATTATTTACTGTTGAGGTAGTGGCAATTAACCCACAAGAGTTCTTGAGGGAGTGGGACAAAAGATCAATGGTCTGTCTCTACAATAATTGTTTTCATTATTTACTATTGTTGAATGATGGTTTGAGTTTAGGAGGTGATAATTGGTAAAATGTTGCTTATACTCTGGTTGGGTTACTTGATCAAGCTGTACATGTGATGTCACTCACTACTCACTCGAACGGCCCTAGAATTCGAAGAAGGTTCTAGCCTAAAAATATATTTGGGCCATTCATTATTTGATTTTTTAAAAGGAAAAATTATAAGCAAACTTCAGCATCATAGTGAATTTTCTAAGATATAATACGACTAAGCATATCCGACCCAGCTCCGGCCCAAATAGTGTTTTAGGAGGTACGAGATTTTGCGACCAAAAGTCACCACAACAGTCAACAGAGCTCAACTCTGTCGCACTGGATCCACAAATGTATCCATGGGGAGAAATTCCACACGCTGCTAACAGAGAAGGGATCTTGCTAGCTCACTTCTAGTTACTCTAGTCAAAGCCATAGCCGGCGGTGAAGTACAGAGGCCACCAAAGCAAGTAGACAGGGCCGGCGTTTGGGGTGAGCGAGAGGAGCAAATGTACCGGGCTAAAACTTTTTTGGGTATATTTAAGGACCCAAAATTAAAAAAAAAAAAAAAGTAATTTTTAAGAATTTAAGATATTTCTAGCATGAAAAAGGTCTAAATATTTTTTTTAGTATGAAAAAGGCCAATTTTTAAAATTTTTTTAATATGAAAAAATTCCATTTTTGTTTTTTATATATAAGAAAATAGCCAATTTTTAAAATTTGTACAGAAACACCGAATTAATTGAGCCGGCCTGCAAGTAGATATAGGTTAAACAAGACTGTAAGCCGTGATCAGCGGTAAAGAACAAAGGCCACCAAAGCAAGTAAATCTATATTAAACGAGACTATGGATGAAAGAGAAGTGCGGACTTCGAGGCAACGGTTGTGCTTCAAACTTTCCACTCATTCATCGATCACGTTTAGTTTTGTTTAATGCAAGACTACATGGTTTCAACCTTAATTTAACCATTTTGTTATTTATATACTGTTACATTGGTTGGCTTTTAGGATAACTTCAAATGCGTATGAAAATGGGATGTATATATTATTGAATTTTATATCTAGAAGACGGTAAGTTAGCAAGGATTTTTTATTTGCTACGAGTCCTTTTGTTTGGATTTAAGATTATTCATTTTTTACTTTAACGTGTATAATTTGGATTTTTAAAAATAAAACATATTGTTGTTAAATATAAAAAAAAAAAACAGTTTTAATTTGAAACAATACAGGCTTACCTTACAGCTGTATTCGTCTGGATCATACTCTCAAATATAAATCGATTTCAAAAATATACAGGTTTTGCGAGTTTTGGCTGGGAGGATCCATAATATCTCTAATCTCTTAGAAATATATATATGTTATTAGCATATTGTTGGAATGATCGTGTCATGCCGATGTTGTGAAAATAATAATTTTAATTTGCGTCCACGACTCTATTATTACATTCTCTACTTCATAATCGACCTACCAACGTGCGTGGCACGAGTTCTAAACTCAAAACCTCTCGACGTGCATCCTAGTATCCTACAACGTTTTACCACAACCTCCTATGATTATTGACTCGCGTTACACTATTTGTTTCAAATAAACAAAACATAACAAAAACCATTTGGTTCTTGTTTAGTTTTCTTTCTCCAAGTAAACCTAACTTTCTTTGGAGAACGACACAATGGGCTTTCTCCTTCCGATTTTATTCGGAGTGTTACTCTTATTAACCGTTACTCCACCGTCTATGTCTCAGCTTCCTCCAACAATAATGGCTCCGGCACCGGCCCCGACTTCGCCATCAGATCTTTGCAATGGAATATTTCTCTCTTATGAATTCATACTCGGTCGCAAGATCCCTCCAAACGACACAACCGATCAGCCTTATCGGTTTGAGTCTGTCCTTACGGTTCTAAACAATGGCCGGGAAGAGCTAAAAGAATGGAGAGTTTTTGTTGGATTCCAACACAACGAAATCCTTATTTCCGCCACCGATGCATTAATAGTCAACGGGACGGAGCTTCCTGCTTTGGTAGGAAATGGTACCATCCTCGGTGGCTATCCGGTCTCCGACCTCAAAACGGCTATTCAAACGGCCGGAGACTTGAAGCAAATGACGGCTGAGATCGAACTTGTCGGGACTCAGTTCATGGTGGCCCCTCCGGCGATTCCTTTGCCGTCCAACATATCGCTTGTTAACGATGGTTGGCTCTGTCCTGAGCCTACTCTTCAAAGTAATCACTCCAATCAATTCTCTCTTTTTTTTCGTTTTCTTGTTTTCTTATAGTTATTGTTTTAAAACATTTGATAAGGTAATTGTTAATGTTCAAAATTTGAATAGAAGTGAGACACTCTCTTTGATTGGTTTACTGATTTTAACTGATTTAAAAATTCATGTTTTGAAGATTTTTACTAGTTTTAAAATCAACAATGAATTTTTAAAATGGTGTAAAGAAAAGTTGATTTTTTTTTTGCTAAATAAGATAAGTTGATTTTTAAGATACAAAAATGATCTTGAATGTAAATTTTGTAGATATTTTTCCTAATTCTAATATTTCTTATATATATACAATTCCTTTTAATTTAGAAAAAAATACACATGTAAATTTTCTTTCTTTTTACGAGTTTTTAATGGATTTGATTAAAACCAAAATATCGTGATATGTTTGGTCATATATATAGACGACTGATTTATAAAATTCACTGGTAATATTTACCAATTCATTAATCAAATTATCATAAAACAGTGCAGTAAATTTTGAAGTGAAAATATTAATGTTTCTGACTCTAGCTAATTTTATGTCCATTAGGCAAAAGAGAGCTAACGACCTGCTGCATGAGAGACACAAACATTACAGTCAACACAACAATCACCACCAAATTCCTCCCACGACAACCCGGAGACTTGACCATAATGTACGACGTGATCCGAGCCTACGACCAGAACTACCTAACCGAAGTAACCATGGAAAACCACAATCCACTAGGCCGACTCGACCATTGGGAGCTTAGTTTCGACTGGATGCGAGACGAGTTCATACAGAAGATGCAAGGCGCATATCCAACGGTCGTGGACGCCACGAAATGCATCTTTGGTCCTCAGTCTCTAATCTACACTGGTCTAGATTTCGCTGACGTTCTCACATGTGAGAGACGACCAATCATCATAGACTTGCCTCCGACCAAAAAAGATGACACTACTTTAGGCAATATTCCTTCTTGCTGCAGAAATGGTACAATCTTACCACGTATCATGGACCCTTCCAAATCAGTCTCCGTCTTCACGATGCAAGTTGCCAAAATGCCTCCTGATTTCAACCGATCCGCGCTTTTCCCACCGCAGAACTGGAGGATTAAAGGGACGTTAAACCCGGATTACTCGTGCGGGCCACCCGTTCGGGTAAGCCCGACTTTTTATCCGGATCCGAGCGGTATGCCTACTAACAAATCATCTTTCGCCAGCTGGCAGATTGTATGCAACATCACGCAAGCCAAAACCGAGATACCAAAATGTTGCGTCTCCTTCTCTGCTTTCTTCAACGACTCTATCATCCCTTGTAACACTTGCGCTTGCGGTTGCGTGTCGGAAACGCGACGCACCTGCAGCGCGGAGTCTCCGTCTCTTCTCATCCCTCCAGACGCTCTTCTCTTACCTTTCGAAAACAGAACCGCTCTAACGCTTGCTTGGAACGCACTCAAACACAAAACCCTACCTAACCCGATGCCGTGTGGCGACAATTGCGGTGTATCAATTAACTGGCACATGGCGTCGGATTATAGAGGTGGTTGGACCGTGAGGATCACGATTTTCAACTGGGGAGAAATCGATTTCCCCAACTGGTTCCTCGCGGTTCAGATGAAAAAACCGGCGCTTCTAGGGTTCGAAAAAGCCTACTCATTCAACGCAAGTCTCCTAAGCGTGGACGGAGGTGTCAACAACACGATTTTTATGGAAGGTCTTCCTGGTCTGGATTATCTTGTGGCGGAGGCTGATGAAAAAGATCCAAAGAAGAAGAATATTAGGATTCCGGGTAAACAACAATCGGTGATACAGTTCAGCAAGAAACTTACGCCGGGGATTAATGTTGCGGAACGCGACGGGTTTCCGGCGAAAGTGATATTTAACGGCGAGGAATGTTTGCTTCCTGATCTGCTTCCGATGGCTAGTGGTGGCAGACGAAATGGGGCTATCACGGTTTTGTCCTTTATAACGTTTTATGTTGCGGCCTTTATAATTCGGTTATAAGTTTTTTTCTAGGGTTTATTATACTCTGTTTTGTTGATTGATTAATTTGTTTTGTAAAATAAACCTGATTTCTTTACTCTATACGGCTGCAGTTGTTTGTAAAACCATGCAATATTCTAGATTGTTGTTTTGCCTTTTAACACCAAAAATTTTTGAACGCAGAGAGTTGTACAATTTGAGGATATAATTTAGCATTTTCTGAAACTTTACCATTTCAAGTGGAACACAGTGAAAAAAATAGAAAACATGTGATATTTATGCGCATATTTATCTATCATAATAAAGCTCTAAGAGTTTGAATCCTTCTGGTTTTGGATTCTCCTATACTAAGTGGTAGGTGACATTGCTCATTAAGTTATCTGGGTCACGATCAAATCCAAAAACTTCTAAAAGCAGTCCATGAAACAAAAACTAGGAAATTATTACCATAAAATCTTTTAAAACTATAAGTACATGTGCCATAGTTGGCATAAACTAAGAAAGAATAATGAGTAATGTGTTGACTATATATATTCTTTCTTGTTTATCAAAAAATAAATATATTCATGTTTTCTTTGATAAACAAGAAAGAATATATTATATAAAAAAAAAAAGATCTATATAGTCAACACTAGGCCTGGGCATAAAACCCGAAATCTAAAAACCGATCCGAAACCGATCCGAAAAATCCGGAACCGAACCCAAACCGAATAGTCACAAAATCCGAACGGATAATGAATTCTCCTATCCGAATTACCCGAACTGAACCCGATCCAAACCGAAAACCGAAAGGATATCCGAAAACCGGAAATAAAAATTATATATCCAAAAATATTAGTTATATTTAGTTGTAATTTTATAGCAAATAACAAAAATATCCTAAATATCCTAGATTTGGGAAAAAATTTAATTATTTGTTAAAATTATACATATTTTTGAAAAATTTAACCAAATTTTAGTAAGATTAAACCAATTTTTATTAACATTGAACTATTTTTAAGTTTTTTTTTCCCGAAAACCGATCCGAATCCGACACCTATCCGAACCAAAACCGAACCGATGACTCATAAAATCCGAACGGATAATAAATTCTCCTACCCAAATTATCCGAATCCGAATATATCCGAACCGAAACCGAACCGAAAAATCATAAAATCCGAACGGATAATAAACTCTCATACCCGAATTATCTGAATCCGAATATATCCGATCTGAATCCGATTTGAAATCCGAATGCCCAGGTCTAGTCAACACATTACTCATTAGGTCATTGGTAACGATCGTTTTAGCCGTAAAACATTACTATAGTAGTATAGTTAGGTAATATATTTATCTTTTGATAAACAAGAAAGAATATATATATATAGTCAACACATTACTCATTAGGTCATTGGTAACGATCGACATTTCTATAGTAATTTAGGGACGAAAGTGTTCTAGCTAAAAATTAGAGAGTACGAGAGAGTTTGTATATATGTATATATATAAAAGCTTGGTAGCAACGCGTCAGATACATAATTTTTTTTGTTTATATTTTATCACTTTCTACCTTCCCTGAAACTATTTAGGGATTTGGATTCTTATACCGGGATTAAGATAGAATTGGATTAAAAAGAAAAGAAAATTATCCTTTTGACCGGGAACTTTTATATTTAAATTTTTCTTTTTTAATTTTGCTATACTTTATCAACCTTTTTAGTAGGCTTGGACGTTCGGATATTCGGATCGGATTTGGGTCGGGTTTTTCGGATGTAGAAAACTAAAATCCGTTAGGGTATTTTAAAATTTCGGGTTCGGATCGGATTCGGATCAGATATTTCGGGTTCGGATTCGGGTTTACACGAAGTATCCAAATATTAAAAAATGTGTATTTGATTCTATGCAAAATTTTGAAAAATACTCAAAAAATCTATAAAACCAAGTATTTTTTATCCGAATCTAGCCATAAGTAGCTAAAACACCCGAAAATATCTTAATATCCGAATAATTTAGGCACTTAGGTTATTACAAGTATAAATATTACTACTAAATTATAACTATGTACATATATTTCGGATATGTTCGAGTACTTGTTCGGGTCGGATTCGGATTAAGGTTTTCGGGTTGTGAAGTTTAGAACCCGTTCGGATATTTAAAAACTTCGGATTCGGATTAAGGTTTGATGCCCAGGACTACTTTTTAGGTTGTAGTACAATTATCAATATTTACTTATTCAAAATTGTTTTTGCGCAGCCAGATTTGTTAGCGTGATCTATAATATATATAAAAATATCAAGAAAAGTATCTCTTAAAATCTTAATAAATTTAAATTCTTCGAGCATCTATATAATATGTTCTTCTTTCAAAGACCTATATATAAACCCTCAATAGCCTCTCCTATCTTTAAACCTTATTTTACTTAGTTCCAACCTCGTTTTCTTTTATGAAAGATCATACGCCGGACTAAAACTAATCTGCGGAATTTACAATCTCCATGTAAATTTTCGCAATGATAGAAAAAGGATGCGTCCAATATTGATGATTGAACAAAATGATTATGATCATCAAACTGTAGTTAATTATTTATCTTATATTGGCTTTTGAACTAAGAAACGTTTATAGTGTTTTTTTTTAAGTCCCAAATCTAAGAATGTTTAAGGTGTTTTTGGATCCCAATTTTGCATACTCTCTTTTCATTTTTCTTCAATTTGTTAAGTTCAGCGATTTTTTTTTGAGATATTTCCTTTCTTATCTATGAATAGATGTGTTAAAGTGGGTTGGTCCAACCGTTAGACCCGCTCCGAGACAATCTAATAAAACTGATCTATCGTGGGTCAGTCCCAATATGCAAGGCTCGTGGGTGACAAGAAAAATTGTATTTGCTTCGCGAGTGTGCATCGTTTCGGGGGCCTTCCCATGGGATTTAAAAAAAAAAAGTAAAAATAGAGATGATTTTTAAAAAGTATGATAACAATTTCAATATTGTCGTTTTGTTTTTTAAACTATTTTTACCTATTTCATAGATTATGTTTTATTCAATTTTCTAAAAAGCGGCGATTATGTTTTATTCAATGTTCTAAAAAGCGGTATAGGTGGTTGCCTAGGTCTGCTTAGGCGCTAGACGTTCAGGTGACGCCTAGACGACTCTTTCGGCCGTCTAAAATCAAATAAGTTTCGTTTCAATGTATTTTGCTAATTTATAACTCCATAAATTTAAATTATAAGTTTTAGCTTCATATATATTGTTTGTATGAATTAAATAAATATTTTTGTCTAATATTTGTTTACGATTTAATATTTTATTTTTCTAATAGATAATTTTATATAATTTTTATCTATAATATTATATTTATATTATGTTATGTTGTAAACGCCTAAACGTTTAGGTTCTGATTAGGCGTTCTAGGCGTTAGACAATGGGTCACCGTCCGCTTAGCGTCTAGCGCTTTCTTAAACATTGTTTTTATTATATATGTACTAGTATATATATATATATATATATACATATATATATATATATTTATATACAAAATATATTTTTATTTTTTTTTATTTACTTGTCCATATAGAAGGTCCTCTTCTTAACCGACCAAATTTTAAATCGTTTAGGTTCTGATTAGGCGTTCTAGGCGTTAGGCAATGGGTCACCGCCCGCTTAGCGTCTAGCGCTTTCTTAAACATTGTTTTTATTATATATGTACTAGTATATATATATATATATATATATTTATATACAAAATATATTTTTTATTTTTTTTATTTACTTGTCCATATAGAAGGTCCTCTTCTTAACGGACCAAATTTTAAATCGTTTAGGTTCTGATTAGGCGTTCTAGGCGTTAGGCAATAGGTCACCGCCCGCTTAGCGTCTAGCGCTTTCTTGAATATTGTTTTTATTATATATGTACTATATATATATATAAAATATATTTTTTATTTTTTTTTATTTACTTGTCCATATAGAAGGTCCTCTTCTTAATGGACCAAATTTTAAACTAACACCCGCCGTGTGGTGGTATTAATTAGTTTCGGCTTCGCGGGTGTTCCCATTTGAACACTTCTAATAACCATTTTCACTTTTTTTTCAATCGAATTTTTTATGTGGGTTTTTGTTGTAACGTCCAATTAATCATGGAGATGAGAAAGCATTTCGGTAAGAAAATTCGGCAAATTCATCTCGGATAAAGAAATGGACTTAAATTCAGTGACCGATTTTTCTACATGAAATATTTGATCGATATATTGAATCCTGAAAGGTAACAAATTTACGCTTTTGGATATTAGTCGAAACCAAACTATGGATTTTTTTTGTCGCATGTTTGATATTTCTTTTTTTTTCATGGCATAATAGTTTGTTTTTCTTAACGTTGCATGAAATAGATGATTAAGAAATTCGAGATTTTTTTTATAAGAGGCTGTAATTTAATTTTTGTAACCAGTTTGATCGAAGTCTTGTCTCTTTTTGATTTTACGGGACAATTATGTCTTTTCTGGTTTGGTTATATTTTTAGTGGAATGTATGCGTCATTGATTGTTCACATTTGCTGCAAAAATCCTACCTGAAGAGTGCATCCATCAGTCACAAAACTTTTGCTAGTTTGGATTGTTTTAGTCGTTTGCATCCATCCATCAGTCGTTTCAAATTTTTTTTTATTATCAAAACGTATGAAATGTAATCAATATATTTTGAGATTTTTATTTCTTAACCAATTTATTTTTTGGACTTTAGGTCAATAATCTCTTTAGTTTCGAAACTGTTTTTGATGGTTTCATAACATCATTTTTCAAGCGTAATTGACTAAAACATAAATGTTTCGCATATTCTTATCACTTTTTCATTATGGATGTTTTCTCTTGATATATTTTCGTGTAGAAAGCAAGTAATGGGCGTTCAGTTTAACGGTGTGGACAACGAAGACCACACATTATTAGCTACTGGAGGAGGAAATACGACTCATTTAATGAAAAAATGAAATCACTTACAAAATATTCTGTTTTTGCAAATTTTTATTTTGAATGACGAAAGAAAACAAACAACTTATTGGTCTGACTCGCAAACAATGCAATGCTAACACAAGAATGTAGAAAAGAGAATCCTAGGGAGTCACCTAGAACTAGAATATGAATTGAACACTAAACCCGTCTTCATGCTTGGCCCCGATCTTGACCCCCCATCTTGATCCCTTCTTGCCAATCCCAATCTTGGATTCATCTTAAAAAAGAATAGAATCTAATCATACCAAGTAAGATTAGGGTTGTCTGTTTTTTTGTACGGACCAACCACTATTGTAGCTGAGTCCTCCATTTTCTCGCTGTATACGAAGCACACACACAAAAAATTTACAAAGATATGAATAAAACATAATGTCTATTCAATATACATAATACTCATAAGAAACATAAGCCTCATCACCTGATCAAGAAAGGAACTACGTGAGTAATCATAAGAAGAAGCCGGCGGAGGTGAAGGAAACATGGCCGATGGCACAACTTCATGAACGTTCCTCGTTTCGAAAGAAGCAGCCTCTGGCCCGTACCAATAGCTTGTTGCATCCACTAAATCTTCCTCGGTTAAGTTATTACCAAAATTCTCTTGTGACTTGAAGTCCGAGGTCTGATGGTGATGAAGATATTGTTGATTAATCATTAGGTTTTTAGCGACATCATGATCAAAATGATGTCCCCGAGATGGTATGAGCTGTGTGTTGATATCGTTAGGGTTCATGGTGTGTTGCGGCACATAAGAACGTTGAGGAATATTGTTGATATGATGTGTTGGGAAATGACCATTTCCTCCTCTGTAGAAGTTTGATGGAACTTCTCCAACATAGACTGTTACCTCTTGCGGGGGTATTAAAGATTTGTTCATTTCCTCTTTCTTAATCTTTTCTTCATCCTTCTTCAGAGTGATCCGGTATTTCTACACACCCAATTAAGGACAAAAGAAAATTAATTAATACGATATATATTTATTAAATTAAGATAACCAAATAAGGATTCTTTTCAATTTTTTAAGATGTGTTTTATTCTAAATTATGTGTCAACCATATTTAAATTTGGTGTACTTTGATTAGTTGACCTCGCTGAAAATATAACTACTAACATCCTTATATACTCCATTGATTTCTGTATATGATTTCTTACTTATTTAGCCCCAACAGTTCAATAAGAACTAAATCATGTTAACATTTTAGCTAAAAAAAAAGAGAGAGAGAGAGAGCTAAACCATGATAATATTTTACCATAATATATGAAAATTCTTAGTTATATTTGTCAAAATTTACCCAAATTTTAATTAAATTTAACCATCTTAACAAAAATTTATAATATTTTGGGTATCTCAAAACCAAACCGATATCGAACCGAATCTTTACGGGTACCGAAATATCCAGATTAATTCAATCGGTTTATGGTAGGAACTGAATACCCATGCATAGTTGAATAGCAATATCTGTTGTAATTTCATGTGATTTGCAGTAAAAATTATATATGGTATAAACTGTAGATTAAAGTGGTGAATTTTACTATTAAATATGTGTTCCGTTCGATCAAAACAAGTGAGTGCTAACTTTTATGCTTTCAAAGTTGTTGTTTATATTGTTAAAACTAAACTAAATTAAAATATCAGAAAAATAATAAAAATAATATATACTACAGTAAAATAATAATATATTAAACTAAATTTTTGAAACAAAATATTACTAACTTAAACATATTTTTAAAATAATTTCCTAACATAATAACTACAAACCTAATTACATAGATTAATAGCATATTTACATTTTCATCTTTTAAAAATCTATCCCTATATATATATATTTTGATTTCAAATGAAAGTATAAGAAATAAATTAAGGAATTAAAAGTTGTAAATTTTTAATGAAATATAAATAACTAGATTTTTTTTATGAAATGTGATTCAATAAAATTCAGATAATAAGAACAATTTCTCTCCCATTATATTCAAATTTGTAACTCCCATTTTTGGTTTTAAAACAATTTGTAACTCAACTTACCACATTTTAACTCATTGGAAGTTCCATGTTTAATATTTAACAATTTTACAAGGAGATAACTGTAACGCCCCGACCGCCATCTTTCTTAATTGGCCCCACGTCCTCTCTCGGCCCGTGGGCCCACCCGTATCTGGCGGCCGGTCCGCTACGTCCGTGAGACTTTCAAGACTTGTTTACCGACCCTACAAATCACCACATGATATTTTTCTGTGTTGTCCTCACTCACACAGTTCCGACAATCACTTCCCGAAAGGTCAGCCATCCTGAAACTTTCCTAGCTCAGTAAATCAATTATTTTAAACCTCTCCACATGCACCAACATATTCCTGAAATCGGGGTGTTACAATATCTTTAAAAAATAAGTCACTCATAGCTCAACAAAATTTAATCCCAAACTCAGGATTGGTGACTTTTTTCAGTTATCTTCATAACTCAATCATAATACATGGTAATTCATGTCATTAATCACACCCTTATAGCAAAAACCTAATTAACCCCACTCTATTTCCAACTCCAAAATGGAGATTAGGCCTATGCAAAAATCCGAAATCCAAGCCGAAACGATCCTAATATGAATCCGTTATTGAAAAATACTCAAATGAAAGCTAGTATCTTATTATTTCGGGTTCCAGTATTATCCAAACCGAATCCGAACCCGGACTAGTACCCAAAACAACCCGGAATTTTTGGTACTTCATATTTTCTCGAGTCTCGAGTATTTAAGGAGAGCTTGGGTGTTTTTGTACCCACAGTTTTGGCTAATTCATATATTTTCAAGTATTTTCAGAGAGTTTGGGTAGTTTTTTTTGGATTTTTGGGGGTATTTGGAGATTTTTATTTCTCAATTTTTGAGTCGAACCTTTTTATTTGCTATCAATCCCTTAAATTAAATATATACTTTTACTTCATACTCAAATAAAGTTAATTGCTACTGTTAACTTATAAACAGTAATGTTAATTATGTGGTTAGAAAACATACATGATAAAATTAAATATACATGTGTTGAATTTGTAATTTTAAGGCAAATATCAATATCTATGCTCAGAAGATCAAAAAATTAAGTCTGTATGCATGCTTTTTTATTAATTAAGTGAGCAAGAGAGAGAATAATATTTTTACCATTTTACCCTTTTTCTAAACACTTGATTATTTGTCTTTCTTCCAAATCCTTCTCTTTCCAAATCATCTTCTTTCTTCATCGTCACTTCCATTTTTTTCAAACAGATTTTATATCCAACTCTCCATTTGGTTAATAAAATTCATTGTTTTTATATGTAACACACAATTATCACCAAACGATTCATAAAAATAGAGAAAATTTACATGAGTTTGGATGGATTAAACTTTTAATTTGAAGAATTTTGGGATGAAAATTATAGTTTTGTAATTTAAAGTGAAGATGGAGAGGACGAAGATAAAGGAAATAAAAAGGAAATTTGCAGGTGAACATGGGTTGGAGTTGCAGGTGACAATGAAAGAAGAAGAAAATTTGGAAGAATGACGACAGAGGAAGATACACGAGAAGAATGAAATTTTATTGTTTTTTACGTCCACGATAACACATAAGTTAACCATGATAAACAAGTTATCACGATAAATAAATATGCTAATGCATAAGTTAACGATGCTAATGCATAAGTTAACGGTAATAAATAAATTGTTGAAATAAATAAACATGTCAATATATAAGTTAGTTGATATCAATCAGATAATAAATAATTTAACATGATAAATATAAATTTATCATATAACTTGAAAAGTTATCGCGATACAATCTGATTTATATTGCTAATCAAATAAATAATCAGCAAAATCATTATCTTTTTTATTTTATCTCGTGATGAATAGTGTTTTTGATGTTGGCCGAACAGTGTTTTAGTTTTTATTTATCGTGATACAATTTGATTTACATTGTTAATCAAATAGATAACTACAAAAATCATTGTTTCCTTATTGATTCCGATGATAGATAGTGTTTCCGATAACAAATGAACAATGTTATTTTTATTGTTAACACTAAATTATTTATCTTGTTATTATTTTTGTTAGCATTTAATTCTAACAAAGGGTAATTTTGGTATTAATTGAGTCAGAGGAAAGAGAATTAATAAAAAAATAAGTATGGATAGATTTTTAATTTTGCAATCTTCCATGCATATCAATTAATATAGCCCTAATTTTAATAAGTAAAGTATTGGGATATATGGGGTCTATTATGCAATTAAAAAATAATATATGTATAGTTTAGTTATTTCCCATAATGTATCTAGGTTTAATATATATTCTCGTATGTGTATATAAGGCAAAGATGTTGAAATGAACGGATTTAATTTGGTTGTTGAACAATTATGTGTAGTAATATACAAGAAGAAACGTTACCTGAAGATGGCTGGCTACGTTTTCTCGACTGAGGTTTTCAACATTCATAAGCTCTAAAATTTTCTTGGGAACAGCTTCTGCATAAATATCCAACATATTCACATATTTATTATATATATAGAGAGAGGTATATATAATAAATCGGAAATCTATAAACAAAAATATTAGTGTTTGCAATTGTGACTCACTATCGAGTCCAAGATATTCCACGGCGTCGACAAACTTTTTGTGAAGCTCCTTGGTCCACACGACTCGTCTTTTCTTAGAGCTAGCAGCACAAGCACGATCATTATGATCATGACGATCCTCCTCGTTGACTTCTGCATCAAGGCACATACTTCTTTTTCTCTTGTTAGGGTTTCTTATGGTGGAATCTCCCACAGAGGATGATTTCTCACCTCCTGCTTTCTCTTCAGCTTCTCCGGTCACCACACTCCTCCTTTCTCGCACCTTCTTTACCAAGTGTTTGAATATTATCCGTAGCTCTTCGGGTTTTATCGGTTTTATAAGATAGTCAGTAGCACCGTTAATCATCCATTTCATCACCGATTGCACTGACTTGTCTTCAGATATTACTGCGGTAAAAAGTGTGTTTTGTTGTTGCATTTCGAAATTACGCTTAGTTCATTGAAATAACATTATTATTGAAATTATTGGTCAAATATTATGAGATTCTTACTGATGATTGGAAGATCCATTTCCGATCCGATCTCCGAGAGAAACCGGAACATATCACCGTCTGAATTATTTCCTTGTATTATAGCGATGTCGAACCTATTCCTATGGTTACGGAGTGCATACATAGCTTTGTTCTCTTCGTTACATATAGTCACTGCAAAAATACACATCGCCATTTAATATGGACAGATCTAGTCCAAAGCATGTCATGGCCTGGATCGGGCCTCAAATATAGGTCAAAATTTGGGGGAAAATTTTTAGGGTTTTTTTTTTTTTTTTTGTTGTTGTCGACATCAACAACAATTATATGAAAAGGGGCAATAAAGTTAATCATCCATTGGAAAATGTTAGACCAGCTTTGAATATAGACTTAATAAAAATTAACACCACTAGATCAACTTCGAAGATGGTTAAATTGATCAAAATATATAAGGTATACCTTGGTATTGAAACTTTTGGAGATTTGTCTCCAACATCTGAAGATGCGATGAATCTTCATCGAAGACTAACATTCGCAAACCCTCAGGGAAGTTGCTTGGAAACATATCGGAGAAGTTTGGTAGTGGATCTCTAAATGGACCATCACCGTCGTCATTAGCCATAACTCCACGGTGCTCCAATTTCTTAGCCATATTTGATGGCTGCATATAAACACTGCGTGTTTTTGTGGAGGTGTCTGGCCTTTTTAACTAAAAAAGATTCTGATATTATCCTACAATGATATTGTTCATTTTATAAGAGAAAAATAGGAGATGGACCCCAAACTCATATTATCTTAACAGAATTAAGATTTTTTGTTTTTTTTTGACAGCAACAAATTTTTGATTGTAACAATCGTATAAATTAAAATCGTAACAGTTAAAAATTTTAAATGGGTTAAAAAATTTGTAACAATTAAACATGGCTTCTAAAATAACACGTCACCACATCTTCTTTTTAACAAGTCACGATCTTCATATCCTTTTTGCAAAGCTTCTTCATGATTATAATTTGAGATTTTCGATATTGGAATGGATTATCTATGTTTTTTTCTTTATTTATTTAGTTTACATAGTTAGATCCACAGCTGAACAGAGGTAAAAAAAGGAGGGAATACGATTTTTAGGATTTGGAAAAGCTATAAACATTGTCCGGTAAAAACTCAACCAATGTATGTCTAGCTACGAATTATATAATTAACTAAACATTATGCGATAAAAACTCAACCACTCATTTTAGAACACTCACAAACACAAAATTTCTATATAGAGAAGTGACTAGAGTGCCATAATTAAATTGCTATCCAAATTTTACTTATTGATTCACATAATTCAAAACTTGTAATTTTGTTTTATATAATTGTTGTTCTTTTTTGTTCCTTTTTGAATATTGATTTAAAACATTTTAGTGGATTTATCATAAGGGGTGTCGAATTAAACATTTAGTGATATGTTTATATATTTTATAGAGAAAAAAGATTGTACAGAAACAAAAGTTAAAAAGCTGGGATAAAACTAAGTAGTCATCAGGTAATATCATACTTTAATTTATGAAAAAAATTTAAAGTCTTAAGAGCCTTACTCACTAATTTTTAAAATAAAATTTCCTTAGAACAATATCTTCCTTTTTCAAATATTAATGTAAAACTTATGTAAACCAAAACCTTCTCCATCGTCGTTAGCCACCACCGGTTCCACATTTTTTATGATTTGCTTTCTTTTTTTCATTCTCACTTTAGCTGACTCTCCTTTTAATCCTTGTACTGTTCTCCCACTTCTCCTTGCTTATATATTGATCAAAAACTCCTAAAAATGTAGGGAAAATACGTGTGATCCTCCTTGAACCGTGGAAAACTTTTTTTGATCAGAACCTTCATTCGATATCTTGAGCTCTAGGATATAGTTTCAAAAGATTCTAACATGAGATATGGTCAAAGTCAAGGTCAAAAGACCTTCCGAAGCTCTCAACATTATTTGTTCTTTACGAATTACGATCAATGGAATTGACCAACATTGCCGGTGCACTAAACAATATCATACATTATCCATCCTAGATTTTGATTTTAAGTTGAACTTTATGGTTTGGATTTTGGAACTAAGGGAGGTGTATTGGAACAATGATTTTGGAAAATTTTGGTTTTTTGTTTAGATCATCTGTTATTCAATTAGTGATTTTAAAATCTCTTCCCAAATTTCATGTTATTGAAACTGAAATTTATGTAAAATCACTCCAAATAATACCAAATCTCTTGTTATTCAATCAAGAATTTATAAAAATCATTTCAAATCCACTGTTATTCAAACTTCACAATTCTTTTCTTAAAAAATACTGAAAACTGATTTGGAGAGACTTTAGATACCTTTTTAGTACAAAAATAAGAACAAAACAATCACACCTCTAGAGATGGTATTTGGTTAAAAAAAAAAACTCCAAAAAAACATGGCTAATCTATCCACCGGAACAATTTCATCTCTTCCACCTCATCTTTTTATCTCCCTCGATCTCGATTTTACTTAGTTCAAAGAAACAGAGAAGCTCTACTCTTTCAAGTTCTCTCTCACTATAGCCTATCGAATATCTCTTCTTCACCGCAAGGCTGCAATAATTTATCAAAGCTCTCTTTTACAAATGGGAACCAAACAATTATCGATTTTTTTGTCAAACCCTTTACTTTATCTGTAGTTCCTAGTGATGAGAGGAGAAATAATATTATGAATTGAGGAACTTGGAATCGTTTCCAGATGTGGTGATGACGGCTATGGCTCCGATTTCTTCAATTTCCATTTCGGGAATTACAAGGCAACAAAACCAATTCAACAATTATTTGGTTCCAGAATCGGGTGGTGCAGCCTTTTAGACAATTATTTGGTTCCAATTCAACAACTGTTTGGGTTTTGGTGAACACTACACTACTCTTGATCCTCTCATTTTGAAGACCATAACCTCTGCAAAATTTTGTTTCCCCACACATAATCTAAACTAACATGAAGTCTTCATCTTTGAATAAAGCCATGAACGGCAAATTAGAATTTTTTTATCATCACCTATGACGAGGGGATCTTAATCTTAGGGAAGCATACTCATACGTGTATGATACAGTACAAAACAAGATTCATTCTGTCAATTTATTTTCAAAGGTAAGATGGTCTTTGTATTAATTATTTATCACGTTGATTTCTCTGTGATCAATCTAGTGATTCGATTCACCACATGAGCCATATATAGTAGAAACCGACATGTTTGGCGTCTGAATGCAGTACATATGATCAAAGATGTCAAATGTTCACAAGTGCTTTGTCCATCGTTCATGAATTGTATATGTTTAATTACCTCAATAGTTTGTGAAGTGTTTTGCATAATGTCCAAGTCCACTTATTCAACTCTTTTGTAAGGGACGGATCACATATCAAAATCAGATGATCTCAAGCTGTTAAACCCAATTTTCCTTCTTTTTTTTGTTCTAAAAGTCTCCCAAAATCACTCCAACTTTTTTCGTTTTGGTTCTTTAGTCTCACCAAATCACATATTATTGTTTGGTATTTTTAAGGAAATAATCTAACAATTCCCCCCCATATCCTAAAAACTTATTCAAGTCTCTTCAAATCTAAAATTTTCTAAATTCCACCAAATCTTCCAAAATCATGAATCCAATACACCCCCCTAAATTCCACCAAATCTTCCAAAATCATGAATCCAATACACCCCCCTAAGAGGCTGAAGAAATTTCAAAGTCAATTCCCATTAGTAAACCAGTCAAAGTTAATGATTCTAAACCGGAAGGAAACCAGTTCGGTTAATTTATTTTGAATTAGAGAGTTAGTAAATCTTTTTTATGGTTTAATCTCATTGTATTGGATTATTGGTTTTTAAACCGGTCGGTCAACATAACATATATCAGTTATTGGATTAGTTTTAGAAAAGACTAAGGTGGTGTTATTCAATGATGGATTTTAATAGAATTGAAATCCAACATTAATCCAGTGTTATTAACCTAATGATTCTAAATCTAACTCTAATAGATTTTAAAGTTTGATGTTATTCAACTAAGATTTAAAATGCTTCATTAAAATCCAGTGTTATTCAAAACTAAAAGACTTGTAAAATCTTTGTATATCAAATCATTTGAAATGAAACATCTTTGGATTTCATAAGTAAATTATTAGAATCATAATCCAAGATATACTGCAGAGATTTTGAACACCACACAAACAGATTGTTAAAAACAATATCAAAAATCAAATCTAAACCTTTAAGAATTGACTTTAACTCCATGAATGAATAACACCCCCTAAGTAAACTATAGTGTGTTTAAAAAAGCGGTCTTCAATTTCTTAGATTTTATTAAAATCGGTGTTACTAGATAGATAATTAGATTTGACGGATTATGTGACTATCATGCGGGCTAGAGGGTCATATTAGTAACGGAACTTGAGTTTGAAAGTGAGTATGAGATATGACTATGAAAAATGTTTAGTTTTGACTAGGGTAAAAGTAAAATGACTGAGAATAAATGGTTAAAGTAAGCTAGGGTCTAAGTAGGTCGATGGAACCGCAAATCACTAGCCCTTGTATTTGCCGGTTTTAGTAGGTCGTCTCTATTTCCGACCACCGCCGAGATTAGAGCTCGTCCTCCGGTGTAGTCGCCGGATTCCATGTCTCTGTTTTGTGCTTTTCAGTTTGTAAGGCCTCAGCCCCCAAACCCATTAAGGGGTTTTGATTATTAATATTAATATTTAGAGGAAAAAAAAAAAAGTAAGCTAGGGTAAAGCAAATACACTAAAGATATTACTGGGTTCAAAGAACGAGCATATGTGGGAACTCGGAGGGAGTTTGGATAGTGATCCATGGCTTGGGGGTTCATTTATGTGATTCAATACTAATCCTTCTGTTTCAAATTATAAGATGTTAAAGATAAAAACATACATATTTAGGTAGTTTGTTTTTCTTTTAAAAAATATGATTTGTGTTTAATAAAAACAAATCTCACCAATCATAAAAAAATACTACAGAATATAAATGGTCACAAATGATCAAATGTATTTAAATTTGCATATAAACTTGCAAAACATCTAATTATATAAAACAAAATAAAATGTCTAAAACATCTTATATTTTGAAATAGAAAGAGTAATAAAATAGAAATGATTACCCCACATGACCGTATTTACTCAAGGATAATTATTTGATATTGTAAAAATTATTAAAAAAAAAACACATTCTAGTATAAATTATTGTAGTAGATTAGCCATTGCCAAAAATTAAACAGTAATAATAAGAGCAATTATTTATAATAGCATAACTAGGTTAGAGCCCGCGGTGCCACCGCGGGGGAAGATTTTTCATTACGTTTGTTTGTGATTTGATTTTTTAACATTGTTTGTGGTTTATTATCGTTATTGGAATGTGAATGTTAAAGTGTAGACTAATAAAAATTACATAATAATAAGATACTGGTAAGAATCTGGCCCTAATATGAAACCCAACGTTTGATTGGATATTTATGGAATTGGGCTTAGATATTATCAAATGATTAGGATTGCAGTATGATATGTGTCTGTACAAAGAGTCTAATACGTGTAACGTGTACAAACAACAAAAAAAAAAAAAAGCGTAAATGAAGAAGACGAAATCTCCAATCTTCTTCTGCAATGAAATCTAAATATCCTACAGACCCATCAATTGATAGATTGCAGCTACGATTTGTGTCGTTGTGAGCTTAAACGCCTGATCATGTGTCCAAATTTCCCCATGGCTTTAGCCAAAGTAAAAT